GAATTTGGATTATGTTGCAATGTCATTGGGTGCCTGGCCCTGCAGTTTGGGTGGAGAATAGTTTGGAGACCATAACTTATGCATAATAGGTGTTAATAGTTTTATCAGTCCCCCAATGTCCTTTGCTTGCCATGTCCAATACCCGTCATCTGCAAATCATGCTGAAAAGTTGTTGACAGGTAAACCGAGAGATTGTAAAGATCCAGAGAGTGAAGGCACCAGTTGGCCAGATGCAGCTGAAGAGCCTTATTGAAGCCCATGTTGTAAGTTTACTATGATATGCATACGTATCTCCTCATTATATGCTCATAAGAAAAGTCAGTTCCCCGTTTTTCATGGCTGAGAATTTTAACTGCAGAAAAACAATTTGTCACTGATGATCACCAGCCATATTTTTGCATTTGACTTTGAAATGGTCAAGTCCTTTAGTGATGAGAGAAAGAGATAGGTCTAGCATAATTATTTACTGCATTGCGTTAGTGAAAAATTTGAAAATAAAAACTAAGTTGCAATGACCTGGCCCAAATTCATGTGGACCAAGCCCCTGAGAGGAATATCTCAAGTGGGTTCCTTTCTGGTGCGTCTCGACCTTTGTATCACTTAATAAGCTGCATCCAACCCAATGTAGGATTTTACGTCAATATACACAGAGAGAGTTATAAGTGTGCTTAAGTATCTTGTTTATGAATGCAGGAATTCTCTCATTGACCATGGAATTTGATGTCAATTAAAATTAAAATGCAATCTCTTTAGGAAGATAAGTTAGAAATATATACTCGTGTTGTCCCAACTTTAATTGGGTCTAGAAGCAACTACCCATGCAAAGTTCCGATGAAGAAGACCTTGATTGGGCCATCTGATTATGTTAAGCCAGATGCGCTGGTTGTAGGGTCAGCTCAGGTCTCATACCACTCATTAGCTTGACTTGCTGACAGTTTTACTGGTTGCTAAACATGGCCTTTGCATTTTTACAGCGTCCAGTTTATTTATGAGCAGGTTAATATCACAAATAAACTATGCCTCATCGATTATTCATCCCAAGAAGCTTTTCCGTGTTATATGAATAATAGAAATTACTCTCATATAGGTATTCCCTTCCATCTCACTTTGACAAAGTTGTTTCACAAAGAACCCTTCTGGTCGTGTTTGGTGTAGGAGAAAACTGGCAGCAGCAAAGGCTCGGCAATTCTCAAGGAGTGGGACAAGTATCTACCACTCTTCTGGCAGTTTGTTCCGCCTAGTGAAGAAGACACTCCAGAGGCTTGTGCAGATTACGAGGCAACAGCTGCTGGACAGGTGACATTGCAGTCTGCATGATTTCTTTGGCGAGCGACAGAAGCATGTGAGCTAGAGGCAGCCAGCCAGCATTGTACAGGAAAAATGAATGTGAATACATAGCTGTGGTATCGTTATTCAATTGATGGGTCAGGAACGCCTGCTACTTTGAGGTGGCGTTTTCGAGTTTGAGAAGATCAAAATTGCCAGACCGAAAGAACATGGTCTATACCTCAAAAGTCATTCATGTCCACAGGATGCTAGAGCCGTTGTACAGATAGTAGGAGAAACTGTAAATTCGAATTTTTAGGTTTATCTGTCATGTCAAAAGCTTCTGGGAATTTGGTTAAGAAGCAATCGCAACATTGCTTTGGCTGGGATCACACCAGTTCAGCTACAGACAAGCATTCAGTGAGCTCTAATGTTATCTATCGTTTCTCGTCACTTATTCTCTCTCTCAGATTTATTCGCTGATGATCATCAGTCAGGTATTTGTAACCTGCATTTCACGTTATGTTGGGGAAGTCTGTAGTTTTGCCAAGAATTAAGAGAGAGAGAGAGAGAGAGAGAGAGGCAAGATCAGAGCCTCCTTGCAATAATTTACTCGTGTACTGATCATTTTGCTGCTTGTTCGGCAGCTATTTCTCATCCCACAATCCACAGTCGTGCAGATTTACAATGCTTTCAGAGGGTTCCTTCTTACTTGTGCCTCTGTTTGAATGAGGTTGATGTCCCGTCTAATCTTTAGACAGGAAAATCAAACCTCCTAGGATCAAGGAAGATCTAATGGTCAGCTCCTTAGAGTCTATTCCCGACACGTCGGCTGCACTGTCGAGAGGATAGGATCCCTACATGTTCAACGTGCGACTCATACAGACATTGGAACAGCTGCTTTAGTACTAATTTCTTAGGCCGACTGCCGACAGCTCTTGCTTTGTGACGCTCAACATCTCTAATTCTCAAGCTCTCGCTGAAATCTTCAACTATATCGCATGGTACAACTTGCCTTATTGTCAAAATTTCTCATTGATCTCCGGAAGCCACGAAAGGGACATGACACGCACCTTTCGGGACGAGGTGGAGTGGTTTTTTTTTTTTTTTCCTTTCTATTCTTCCACTGCTGGATATACAAGGTTACTAGAAGTCTAGAATGACGATTACCCTCCCTAAAACTAAAATCTTGACCCCGAAATTCACTCAAAGTTAATAAAAAAATGGAATAGACGAATGAAAATACATCGTCGGAAGACCGCACGGTTATTTAATTTTATTTGATTCGTGTGGCAAAGAATGGTCCGAACTATTCAACTGTTCCTAATGTAACATGGTTTCCACAAACACTGAACTGGAATAAGTCGCGCGTGAAATTTTGCGTGCTCAAAAATGATTCATAGTGCAGACAACATATTTCTCTTAACTTGTTGCAAGCTCAGAACCTCGCTTGTAATTTGTGTCTCTGAGTCCGTCCCACTGCCTAAGTTCGGTCAAGATTGCGATGGGAAATGTCAAAGTAAATACCAACTTCGAAGTTAATGAAAATTTCACGGTAGAGATCAACACAATCTTTGTGTACATGTTCAAGTGGCTTTGGTGTATCCATTTGGAGGTCTAGCACTTGCTTGATCATTTATTTGTATAAATACATGATCTGCGCAATAATTGTTTGAAACTTATTGTACGACCGTCAATTCAGTCATAAATTTTCCGATGTGGCCAATTTAGTCCTAAATCTTTTGATAATTTTTCAATGTAGTCATTCCGGCCAATTATAGCAGGATATCGTTGACGTGGACATTGACCGTCCTACTTGGTATGACCGGTGTTGACGTGGACGGTTTTTGCAATTTTTAAAATATTTTCAATTTTTCTTTTCTTTCCCTTTTCTTATCTTTCTTTTTTTTTTTTTCCTTTTTCTCGCTTCCTTCTGCCGGTCTTCGAGGCCTCGACGATGGTGTCTCGGCCCTCACTGACCACAGGTGAGGGCGCGCAACCCTTGCCAGATTTGGGTGAGCGCCCGCGAGCCCTTACCAAGATTTGGCAAGGCAAGGGCGTCGCAGCCATCACTTGTGGTCGGCAATCTCCGCCGGCCATCGCCGAAGCCCCAAGCGACCGATGGAGGAAAATAGGAAAAAAAGAAAAAGGAAAAAAAAGAAAACATTAGGAAAATTTTTAAAAAATTGCAAAAATTGTCAACGTGAAAGTTGGCCGTGCCACATAGAATGGTTGGAGCTCACTGGACTGCCACATCAACAATTTCCCACAAAAAAATGGCCAAAATGACTACATTGGCAAATAATAAAAAATTTATAACTAAGCTATCCAAATTGAAAAGCTTAGAATGAATTGGCCACCATACAATAGATTTATGACTTTTTGGACTATTTTCCCTTCAATCTGCTAATCCCTTTCAGTGAATTGATGAGCGACTTAAATGTAAATGAAAAAGAAAACTTATTCTTATGCAATAGCACCTGTTAATTAATATTCCAATTGTCAATGGAGTTTAATACCATTTTACCTTTCATTTTGCTCTTGGTTGTTATCTTAATTCCAAATAAAATTCCAATGTCTTCTCACGACTCATGCAGTTAGTGCTTACCGTCTATTTTCACCCAACAAATTTCCAAGCTCCTCTAATGCCTTCCCTCATAAAATAAGATGTGATAGGATATTACTAAATTAAAAGAGAGAAATCTTTATCCAAACTCCAAAGAAAATTACAATAAAATTGGGCAATCGATTGATTAAAACCCTATACATTGGGTAGCCCGGATAAAATTTATAATAGGATAAAATTTATCATATCTTATATTTGGTTCCTGCCCAAGACAGGATAAAGTTGGATATAAGAGGGATATAGCCTGGATAAAATAATCTCATGGGGGAGGTGAGATAAATGTGGATAGGATTTTTTATATCCATAATATAAAAATTATTTTTCTCGAACAACAAACTTATTAATTTAATAAAATTATTGAATATAAATAATATTTGAATTCAAATAAAAATTCAAAATAACAAAAATACTAACAACGATTTCTTCTTTATTCATTCCTATTTTTATTTATATATTCAAATATCTTTTGATCTTACAATATAAATTCACTATATATAAATATATATTTAGTATTTATATTTATTACATATTTTAGGTATTTTATTATTTTTGGTATATTAGTATAGTTTACTATTTAATAAATTTTGATTAAAGAATGATGGAAAGGGAAAATAAATAAATAAATAAATAAATAAAAAGTAAGGGTAAAATAATAAATAAATAAAAATGAAGTAGGCAAGAATATTATGAGAGATTCTTACCATCTCAGTTTGTGTACTTTTTAGATTCATTTACACTGATATGCATTCATACCAAATAACGAACTTTGATAAGATGTAAAAATATATTGTTATATTACTACGATACACTAAATAGTGAAATGGATAAAGCAAAATTCCTGGATTTTATATCATACCCTATCCAATTCTATTTCGCTAGAAATATAGACGACCAAACGTAGCCTAAAGAACGTAGCCTAAAGGAGATAATACACGGGGGGAAAATCTCGTGAATAGTCTAAACCGGATAGAAAAATTTGCATACCAAATTACAAACGTATCGTAATCGATAGATCAGCTTTCCATATTAATATTACTTTGGTAAGATGTTGAGATTTATACAAGTGCACGAAGTTGACGCGATTTGTTTCAATAAAGGATGTACAGTATGCCATACGCATGCATGATTTTGTTAAATTTCACAAATGTATGAAGCGCAAAGATAGGTCCTGTCATACACCGAACGCAAAAGGGCGAAGCTAATGAATCCTTTTCACTGTGATACAACTCAAGTGCTCATTCATGAACGAAGCTTTACAGTTCAGGTTTGAGAAAACTTCCTTAGCATCATCAATCATTCCCTCCAACCTCTAGGTCTTCAAATCACTGAGCTAGCCAGCGAAAAGTTAGACAAATCACTGAAATGGGTGCCAAGAATGAATAATGAGTAATGAGTAATCCGAAAGTTAGCAGAAAACCCACCTTCTCTGCATTGAATCAAGCATATATGTACCCTACCAACTACCAAGCAAAAGTACATCGAAAAACTATGTTACTCTACCACCTCCTTAATCATGCAAAGGTCGACTTGATAACGAAAATCAAGTTGAAGATCGATGGGTCAATATTGGAGAGGTATCTTCTCTGGGTTTCCTTTATTGCATACGTTCCCTACCCTCTCTCTTAGCGATAGACCCTTATTATTTCTCGTATTCTTATATAGTATAGTACTTCATAGCTAGGTCCAAAAAAGGATCGGTGGTACCCATCAATCTCTGCTTACTAAACCTAAAGCCTACAGCTTAAATGCTAGTTTCAGTCTACTGGTCTACACCAGATACATTCGCCAATGCTCATGTTTCTGATGTATATAGCTGGCCAAACTTTATATTATTGCGTGCTTCAAGCTCAACCTCGAATGACTCTGAATAATGTCGTATGCCGACCATAGATAACCTAACCTTCTAGGGAAAGTGCAAAACCACGACGGAAATGGGTGCTAATAGAAAGCCTTTAACGTACATAGGAGAAAATTTAAACCATTATTATGAATAAATGTCAAAATTAAACCCACATACATGCGCTACCGTTCCCCACAACCCCCATACACATTGGCAATCCACCGAGCAATTCATGCAAACATTTTTATAAGCTATGCTGCAAAGTGAACGACCAATCACCATAAATCAAGGGCACTATTTCTTTTCTTGAATAAACATGAATTATGGGGACTTGAACGGTGCAAAAGAGAAAAGACCCGACACCAAAAAACGTAAGAACGCCTCAATTAGTTTCCTTTTGCTGAGTTGTAGATCAAAAGCCGGTCCACGAAAGATTATCTTGCGCTCAGAGTCTACTTTCTACGGCTATGTATGTATAGGAACGTACGAACATGAAGCTTCTTTTTACATTATTATGTCCTTTCTTTTGACCGGAAAACCGCCAAAAACGAAACAAGAACAATGGCGTTATTTAGTCCACCGATACCTATGACTTTGAGTAAAGTATACAGATGAATCTGTCGCCATAGTTATAGCAACTCTTCGGATTCAAGGCATACCGACAGGTGTCCACTTGTCAGATTTTCTTCTGCTTTTTCGCTGATATTAACGCCAAAATGGCAAAGAAGGAAAAAAAGTTTCAGGAGACGGAAAACCAACGCCCACTTGTTGGGTCCTTCCTCGTGCTCTCCGTCTATTCTTCTGATCGATTGTTCTTCTTCAACCAATGGCCGTGCACTAATGAACCAATGACCTTGCACTAATCAATTTGTTCTTTTCTTGTGGGTCTGTATTCATTTTGTTCAATTTTCCCTCTTTGATTTTATCTTTTTGTAATCTTTATTCTATGTTTGCCAATTGATGTTCTCAGATATTGTTGCTCCAAGGCACGCCAATGCTCTTTCTTGGCGTGAAAGTGGAGGAACTCGAGAGGGTTTTTCTTGCGTTTCTTTTTTATGTAGGAGTGTGGAAGAAGAAAAGCTCATATGTTCTCTCAATGAAAAGGAAAGAAAGAAGATCCTAGAATGCATCGATCCATCGTAGACCCTAAATTTCCTCGCAGATTATTTTCCCCCTATCAACAAAACGAAAACCTGAAAAAGAAACCCTCTTCGTGATTTTCGCACTAACCATTAATTTTTCCAAGTAAGAAAGGAAACTTTCAATTTGATGCATATGTCTGATGAACATTTTTCAATAAAAGATTCAAATACTTGAACATCTTGAAACTAAAAAATGCATGCATGCCTCAGATCTTTCAACCCCCAGCACTCAAACAGGAAAGATATTGAAAGAGAAAAGCTCTGAACAAATTGATCATTCTAGAATATTTTCTGTCTCTTTCATGACTGAACACCACATACCGACATGCATGTACAGTACAATCTTACCATACAAAAATCTCACCATCTAATTACACAAACCTTGCACCAAAACTTGATCAGCGTTGTCGTCATCAGCTCGAGCTCAAGCAGATGCGAGAGGAACGCTCGGATCTCGGGCCGGCGAGCAGGCCAGCAAAATGAGGAGGGACATGATCAGGACCGGCACGAAGAGGAGCATCAGCGGCGGCGGGGGCAGTGGTGGCAACACCAGCGGGAGCACCAGCAGCAGAAGAGTGAACAAGGCCAGGAGGATCATCATCGACCTCATTAACATGTGCCCCACTGTGCATGAAGCTATATCTTATAACCTCCGGTGATGAAAACGAAGCAACTATTGATAATCACTGGATCATCAATGGTTAGCAGATCTCTCCTGGTGGACATAGGATCATCATGTGACGCCGCATGGTCCAACCATTGCTGCGTTCACATCGAAACCTCCCACCAAGACCCTCTGGAAACTCTCTCGCAGATAAAGGGAGTGAGAGAGAGAGAGAGGGAGGGAGGGAGGGAGGGAGAGTTGTGCAGTCAATAAAGGAGATTGAAAAGTTGTTGAAGATGGGTTTTATATATAGACGCACACACCCCAGTACAAGAGAATAACTATGACAAAAAGAGAGAATTCTGTCCTCTTCTTTTTTTTTTCTACCCCAGCAAAAGGATGCGACCCGGTCCAAATCAGGGTCGGACCAATCGAAACTTTGACTAGTATAATAAGCTCAGATTTTAGCAAAAGGAAACATACAAATTAGTGGAATGAAGATGATCACCATAGCTGAAATATGCGCATGCATCCTGATCTTTATTTCATCCAATTGCGTCATAAACGCCATCTTTTCAAGAAAGAGGAAAAACAAACGTAATCGAGGAGGAATATCGTGGAAAGTTTTAAAGAAGAGAGAGAGGGAGATTGGGGGAGAGGCATGTGAAAGGGACAACGAGGGAGGGGGGACGAGAAATGAGGAGAGGGGGGAGGAACCAGAAGGGCACGAGCGGAAACATTTAATGACTAGGTCTTATTATTACAAAGAAAACTACATCGGGCTGGTCGTTGTCGTCACTAGTCGTCGTCGACGGATACTTTCCCTCCATTATTTTTTATGTTGGGTGTCTTGGTTCACCCAACCCTAACGTATATATGCACAGCGCGCGCCCACATCACACATCAAAAGGTCAGGAGAAAGATGAGAAAAAATGGGTCGTCAACCGTCAATATCACTATTGATTTGCTCTCATTAAACGTCGATGCTGATCATTCTTCCCCCTTTCTCACGGGTTTGCCCGTTTCGGAAGCTTTGAAAATATCCCACCGCCAATCTCCTCCCGTTCTTGTTTTCTTGATGTTTAAGTTTCGATTGGTACGGTTGGGATTTTGAGTGGTAAAACGGATTTTGCGTGCTCGATATAAGTGGGAGTTTTCCCCCGAGTTCGATTCCTAGTCAATCATGTAACCTCTTGGAGCCATACAATGAGGAAGTACATTCATCATGGCTTTCATAGTGCCTACGTAGATGATGAATCTAACAAAGAGGGTCCTGTTTTTCCTTGATGTGAATCAAAACTTATGCATGATTTATGCCGGGGACGCGCAACAAAACTATGAACCACACTCGGCCTTTTCAACGTACGACTCCGCCGCGACTATATAGGCCTTTCCCTCGGCTAACACAATACTTCCCTCTGAGCTTTGGGCCGGCCTCTTTTGTTCTTGCAAGACTGCTCGTCATCTAACATCTTGGTCGCAAGAACGACCGTACGTGGTCCCGAAATGTCCGCAGCCCTCGATCGACAACAATAAAGCCCTTGATTTTGTGAAGTCGTTCTAATTTGCAAAGAAAATATACACAAATCTACAACAGCTTATGATAGCTCAACAATAATACAACCGGTTATGGAACCCACTGTCCTAAAAGAAGGGAAAAGTACCAAAAAATTCCTAAACCTATTCCATTTGTACCAATTCAGCATTAAATTTTTTAATTTTACCAATTTAATCCTAAACATTTTCACATAGGTACCAATTTAGTCCACTTGACCAATGGGTGGCACAATGGGTGCTGACATGGACATTTTCAAATATTTTTTAAATATTTTTTTCCAAAATTTTTAATAATTTTTCTTTTCCCTTTTCTTTTTTTCTTTCCTTTTACTTTTTTTCTTTTTTCCTTCCCTCGCTGGTCGCTAGCCTCCATGGCTGGCGGAGGTCGCCGGTCGCTGACAAGGTCAAGGGCCTAGAATCCTGGGGCTGACCCTCGTTGGCCTTTGGCGAGGGTCAACGAGGGCTGGGTGAGGCAACCCCTAGCCAAATCCGGCGAGAGGCCTTTCCCAAGCGAGGTTGGCCTTCACCATAGGCTGGCCAAGTCATCCCGGCCTTCGTCGGCGTCTGGCGAGGGGCGACCTCATCCAACCCTTGCCCTCGCCGACAACCTCCGCCGGCCACGGAGGCTGGCGATCGACGAAGGGAAGGAAAAAGGAAAAAGAGAAAGGAAATGAAATAATAAGAAAAAGAAAAATTTTAAAAAAAATTCGAAAATATATAAAAATTAAATAAAATATCTATGTCAGCACCAGTCGTGTCACATAGGATGACCAGCGTCTATGTTAGCAATTTCTGGCCTAAATTGGCTGGATGGACTGAATTGATATTAATGTAAAAAGGTTTAAGACTAAATTGATTCAATTAAAAAGTGTAAGATTGAATTGGTACCAATAAAATAGGTTTAGAATTTTTTTGTCCTTTACCCCTAGAAGAGTTATGATCGAAAGGGAAACTCAAGCCCCCGAGTCTAAAGAGTAATCCCTATAGCCCGAGAAGAGGGAGTGTAACAAGTGGTGGGCCACAAAGTCCTTCTTCACTCCATTGACAAGCAGCTCTCGCCCAAGAAATGGCGTGTTACTAATAATATAAGAAACAAGTCATTTTCAGATGACTTAAAGCATGCATAAGTTACCTAACGGGAGGAAAGTGTGCGCAGATGCATGGAACCTTGCATGCATCGAATTCCATTAACTTATAATATATAGTTGATCCTCCAACTATGATGGTCTTATTAATATAGGAAAACTAAGGAGGATTTGTAGCAATTGTCAAGATGCCCCCATTGCCAAACTAATCGGAATTGATTGAGATGAAAGCTATTTCCATTAGTCCTTCCAATCTCAACTTTCTTTTGGCCCATCTTATCCCGCGCTGATTCGATGGCTAGAGCTCCAATTGGGAATGGCAATCTGTTATACCGGCCCTTTGTCTTTTGCAATGATTTTTAAGATAACGATGTCTTTCGGACATTGGGCGACGGATTAGGTCAAAAATATTGAGGTGGTTCATTGAATGTTCCGAATGTTTCGACATGAAAAAGCTAATGATTATCCAGTTAATTAAGAGAGCATGGAAAGAGGAAAGCCTTAAAGTCCATTTATTTTAGGGAAAAATCATTACTCGAAATCATATCCCACCGTTTAGATCGCTTATGAGTCAATGGAAAATCTTTTTTATAGTCGACGAAAAAACTTTATATAAAGTTAGAAAAATGAATTTCTCTTTAAAAAAGCAAAAGTCATTTATCAAAATATGATCGGACCCCAGTGCTTGAGCCATGATCCCCTTAAGCCTGACCTGAGACCTCGACACCCTTGTTCAAGTCCCAAGCAATTGGGCTTGGGACCCCGGCGCTCATGCTCGGGCCCCTAGTGGCCGTGCACGAGTCTTGAGCGCCCATACCCGAGACCTTGGAGATCGAGCCCAAGTACTCGGCTCCGACGCCTAGGACCTCTGAGGCCGAGCTCGAGTCGCTAGGCCCCGGGCATGGGCCCTGAGGTTAGGACTGGGACCCCAATGCCCATGCCTAGGTCTTCGCCGATCGGACGCTAGATCTTGGCTTGTGTGCTCTCAGTATTCTGATGGCCCAAGCCAAGGCCCCAACGCTCGTGTTTAGGTTCGCAACACTCAGGCACAAGACGCCAATGGCCATGCCGAAGACCCTGCGGTCGGGCCTAGCTCATCAATGCCGAAACACAAGCTCTGGATGTAATCAAAACTTTTCTCAAAGGCGTGTTTCATAACAAATATCAGACAATGGCCTCCATAGTATTTGCAAAATATAGTCAAATATCGAAAAGTGAAACTGATTGTCCTTGGAAATAAGTTTATTTGAACATATTTTCCAGCAAAGTTCATTTTCCGTGAAATAAACTGATTGAAGATTGGATGTGAGTATCTGTGTTGAAAGTGATATGCTGATTATCCTTGGTTAACTAGTATTGTGAGTGTGCAAGCACGGGCTTGTTTCATAAACCATGGGTATATCTCCAACGTTGATTTCATGCATTGAAGATCAATTACAATAAATTTCAACGAATTACGGAAAAAAGAGTGATAACACATGTAAAAAAATTACTTTCCTCAAATAAGGACGAAACATTTGCTTACATCAAATTTACAGTATGATGTATACTTGAAAAACTTTTGAGGAATTAATGGAAATATTTCATTTATATGTGTAAAATGGATTTTTCCTAGCATTGATAAATCTATTAATGGTCAAAAGTTACTCCTATTCTTACTTTACCGGAGTCTCCAGTAGTACAGCCGAGATAGCGACAGGTTCTCTGCACTTTACATTATATGTTATAGATTTGTATGAACCTATTAAATGGTCAAACGTTACTTTACATTATGAATTATATATATTTGTATTTATATTTAGGAAGACATTAGGAAAGATTCTAGTTCGAATACAAATGGATATGCATCATATGGAGTTTGCCACGAGAAGCACTTACAAGATAATATCAAATAGAGCTATATTACTATCCTTTAATCATATTCGGAAGAATCATTTTGATCTCACCTATGTGATTAGTGGTTTTTTATGAAATATAGCATGTATAGGAAATTGTTACTCGCACAAATATATCGAAACCCTAACAAGACACTCTCTCTCTCTCTCTCTCTCCCAGAACCGCCACGGCTCAATTGCCGCCACCATAGCTCCGCCATGGCCTCCTCAACAACCAAACCAAAGCCGCCCCCCCCCCCCTTGGCAAGAACTGTACGTCGACAGAGGCACTGACCAAGCCCCAGGATGCGTAGCTTGGGGCGTATCCAGACTCCAGCTCCCCCACCATTTGCTACTGCAGGAGCTTGACTGGGTACGACGCCGTTGGCGATCAATGGCGTCGGTATCAACGAAGAGAGAAAGAAACCACTGCCGTCGGCGACGTAACCTGTTGGAAACGTGACCAGAGAGAATTGTTGGGACGCCGGCGGGCGGCGAGAGTTACTCGTACAGCAGTCAGATATGAGAGAGAGAGAGAGAGAGAGAGAGAGAGAGAGAGAGAGAGAGAGAGAGAGCTGGGGCTGATGGTGATGGAGTAGGGTTCTTTGGGTGTTTATTTTTTAGATAGAATTACATGTAGGTGACCACGTAATGTGCACTGACCAATCAAAGAGCGGGTTTGATTGGAGGAATTGCATGGACAAGAGAATTATCGTAAAAGCATAATGAATGAAGTTCATAGGGTCAACACTGCATATGACTTCGTTTTGTCAATTCTTATAGGCAAATGCAAAGATTAAAAGATGTTTAAGGATCTTATCACTAATTTGGGCTATGAATTTGTGTTTTGACATCATGATTAACCGCGTGGAATTCATGTCTAACCCAAAACATGACATTTTTATTAATTGTGTCGCGTTCTTGGAAACCCAAACACAATACTTTCATTAAATAGGTTACGCGACATGACACTTTTAATAAATTCAAAATTGAATCTATTATATAAAAAATATGCTTAAACGTATCTCTTGCCATTTCTAAATTTATCCAAATATATCATGTCAACACTTATAGTACGTCGACATGTTTAATTAAACGTGTCTAAGACTGTCATGTATAATCGGGCTAAAATGGTCAAACCATGAACATTGGCACACTTATTATTAATGTGTAACCAGATCGATTTATTTAACGACACTAACACGATTAAAGCTCAACTCGAACATGCTTAACACCCGCCAGATAAACGGATTGGCGTCGAAAATTGGTGCACCTTATGAAAGCAACAAGCACACGAAACAGTATTGAAAGACTGATGAATCGCATTCCTTCTTACACTCGTTCATAATCTGTCCCCATTAAACAGATAGTGTTACTCTCAAGTTTTTAAGACATTGGTTGCACGCAACCATTTTTTCACCACCGTTTCAGAATACAACAACTTGTTTTACTTTAAGGAAAAAAACAGAGATTCGCGATTGGATTGACCTGGTATGTCCGCCGTGCAAAATGCTCGTTCTCTGATCATGGAGTTTGATTTAACATCTTCGCTGCGAGGTTCATTGCACCTCGCAGAAGTCTCTCCTGGCGCCCACAAACATAAATTACAAATATAAATGGGAAATGACCAAAGTTTTATATTTTAGGATCGGCCAATAAATTCAAAGGTCCGAGAGGTCTGATGTACGTAGAGGGAATGATTCTGGCCGAACCCCATCGCTATCGGCGCCAAGTTGATCGATTTCTTAATGGCCCAGTTCGCTCCGTAATCAACCTGATTCTTTCAACTTGTATTAAACTGCCATTTGATTTTGTGTGTGCTGGCAAAGGAGTAGTTTTTTTGGTAAGGGTGTGTGCTGGCAAAGGAGTAGTTGCTTTACATGCAATAGCATATATACTTGTTTTACCTTCGTTACCATTCAATGAACGAATTTTTTACATTTATTTATGATGCCAAAAATTCTTATATTAGTAGGCACAATAAGACCGCTTGAGAATAGATTAAGCAATTTATGAGCATTTAACTTTATCTGAATGTTTGAGGAAGCACGGTCAGTCGCTCTCAAAATTCGACTCTCTTCACATTTGGTAGAACCTAGTTTTGTATTAATTCCAACGGGTCTTAAAACTCTCAACTTTGACTTTTGCTAGGGAAAAAAAATCTGTAATCTAAATTGCTGGATACCATGCTTTGTTATAAGGAGGGAGCTTGGGAGAGAAGACGACCGACAATGAGGTAAAAGTTAGGGATCGCAATTCGTTTTCGTGTGTCTTATGCCGTGTTGATATAGGGATATGCTACACAACCGATCAATTTGCACACGACCCAATCAAGTAATTGTGTCAACATACATGACATGAATGGGACTCGAAAATTAAATATTGACACGACGAGATTTATGCAACCCGCTTAAAAACGGGTCGAAGAGTCGACACTATCAGATGACCCGCAGGACATGAAATCAACCACCAACACAAACCTGACATGAAATATGCTAATGTTTTCATAAAATAGATTAACAAATTGCAACGATCTAGTAGCAAAATGTCATCAAATTAAATCAAATAACTTATTTGTAGTCGATGAAATATCTTCAGCTTAAGATCCTAATGATGAATACCAGAGAGAAATAATCTCGCATACAAGTTGTATCCACACTAACCCGTTGATTTAAACAGCTTATGCGGATCAATTTCTTGTGTGTCGGGTTGGACACGAACACAACACGATTACTAATCATGTCTCACAGGTTGACACGATATTGACCACATACAATCAGCCTCAATCCAAACCCGCTAATTCTTTATCATGTCAGAGTATATAATCGTGTAGTGTCAGAAATGCCCCCCCCACCCCAGTAGAAATTAAACTTCTTGCCAAGGTAAAACTTTGTTGATTTTGGTTCGAAGTTCGCCATTCTATTCGGAAACCATGGTACTTTCCGGGGTAGTAGCCGGGGCTCGGGCTTATTTCTTATGGGCACCTGGTCCTGATTCAGCAATTCTTAAAATCATATTTTTGAATTTATTTTGTAAGGAATTTGGAAAAAAAACCTAAAGAGTTTTGAGAGCCGTCATTCAAGAGAGTGGAGATCTTGAGATGTCTCCTTTCTTGTGACCGACTCTTGTGGGTATGACTGTTATCTAGGATTGGGGAACACTTATTCATGAGTGTTTCAAGCGATTGTATCTCTATTTTGCCGATTGCAGCAAAAACCATCTCTTCGATCTCTCCTAGCGAAATAGGCGCACCTCCAGACCACATACATCGTCAATGGCCAGGTTTAATTTGTGCAAGTCAACCTTTGCTCGAATCGTTTCGTTCGATCACGCTTCCACATCGGCCATAACAACACACATAAATTAAATAGAGAAAGGCTTAACCCCACGTATAAATCATCTCATCAAATCAAATTCTTAATATGCAACAACAGATTGCTCGAATCGTCTCTTTTGTTCGCGCTCCCACGTCAGTCATAACAATACATATAAATCAAATAGAGAAAGGCCTAACTCCACACATAAATCTGATGGGGTTATATCCGAACCGAATCAGAACAATCACACAGATAATAGAAAATTTGACACACAAGTTTACTCGAGGTTCACATCGAATATAGGGCTACATCCCGCAGGGATTCTACTATAATATTTAGGTTTTACAATACCACAACCACTGTTACAATAATCTCTCATACAAGTCAATATATAGGACTTAAAATGGTCCCGCCCAAAGCCCAAACCTATCCGTGCAAGTGTCAATAATAAACTATCTTGATCCGGCAGCATGTCCGAAAACAATTGATTAACCTCCTCCTTGCTCTCTCGCGTATGTGCCGATGCAAACGTAGTAATTTGTTTGTCTTTTGTGCAGAATTCATTGCCTTGTCTTCTTCCCTCTCTCCGCTGTTCACTCCCAGTCCCACCACCAGTAAGCCATTCACAATCGAGCGCCATTCCCAGAGAATAATTCTCCTCGGCCTGTGCAGTTCCTCAGATACAACTTGCTGCAGAATCTCTTCATCCAGCCCTAAACCCTAGACCACGCCCTCGTTTTGCTGAGCTTTTTTGTCCATGGCGGGGTTTTAAAAATCTAATACGCCAGATGCAAAACTTTCAGTATGCTACTGGCCGACACCCCAGCAAGTTGCTCCTATGTTATGTTTATGTGCAACTAAAACCCGTACGTGTGGCCAACCTCGGATGAGAAAAAATTAAACATGGGAACCCCACCATCTTGTACCTAAATTAAGTAATTCCATGCCACCAGTGCCGGTAGCAAAGTACATTGCACCTGCTTGTTTTTTATACCAATAAAGCAGAAGGCGAGAGACAAATATCCCCGATCACGACCAAGAATGATGACGGAAGCTGAAAATATAGGTGAAAGCGTTGTCCGTACGAGGGCATATAGTCTTGGTTTTTCCATCGGAAGATTCTGACTGTGTATGAATAGGCAGAGGGGTGCCCATTTTGCAAGAATTGGAAATGACGATGATAAACTAGAAATGGATTGCGACGAGTGTCTCAAGAACGACCGTCTAACATGCTTCATAAGAAAATACATTCGATTATGATGTGTGTGTATATATATCTAGTCCAAGCCAATAGTAGCATTCGATTTCTTTTCCGATCAAAATAATAGTATCTATCAGTTTGAGTATGTTCCGAAGAATTTAATGCAATCGGAAGTCAGAACTGACGAGGAATCTATACCGTGTCAAGCTATAGTCTCCCCTCGCGATTGATTATCATCTTGCAATCACAGCCGGGTACGAGTTCTATTTGTACGATGAGGAGGGACTTGATTTTGGAAGATTTTGGTGGTGTATAATGGTATGATTTGATGAATTCGCAGTATAACATAGATCGTTTTGTCTCGAGGGAAGCATGCGATGAAAATGAGCCGGGCCGTGAAAGGCCTTCCTTAAATGGGTCCGGCCGTGCAAGACCCGTTTAATTAAACATCAATTTCATCCATCACTTTTGGGGGAGGGGGGTCTGTGGAATTCTGCGGTCCAAAATGCAGAATCTCGGGCATGGAATGGAATGAAAAGGGTGTTTTGATTTTGACCGTCCGATCATTTACAAAAGATGGAGACTTGTTGATTTCACCATTTCATTAAGGTAAATTACCGAGGATAAGGTTATCAACATCATGAAAGTTATTTCGTGAGAACCCAATATCTTCTCATAATTGAAATTTGGCCCACGGCCATATCATGTTTAACCAAAGGTCGACGATATAAATTACCAATTTATATGTAACCTATTTCAACGCGAAAACGAAATCTAGATGCGAAGGACTTAGTGTTATTAAATAGATCAAATAAAGGTTTATTTAACTTATGCAATTAGGAAATTTCTTTTTGGTTTAACTTATCGTCATCACCATGGTTGTCAAATTATAGCTTCAAAATACTTAAACTGAAAAAGGAGTAACTTCGTTTAAGTAATACACTGGCTAAAAAGACATTCCTTCAACAGCCTTTTAAACAATTATCTGTTTAAAACTTACATATTCGAAAAAGAAATGTATAAAGACATTCTCAGATTACATGCAGTATATTTACAAATGCTTAAGCAGAACACCAAGCTGAAGGGCTTCATTGATGAATTTATATACTAATGGAGGGACTATTGCATCATGATCTGATTTTCAAGTTGTCTCAGGAATTTTACTTCCCTTCCCTTCTGATCATATAACGCCAGTAGTTTCTCCTTCAAAGCCTCACACTCCATCCCCCAACTTCTCTCAACCTTCACATATTCAAATGATCATCATTCAAAAAGCATGCCAATGATATATCTATATACCATGTCAAGAAACTAAAATTGCAAATTTGGGTATGACTAAAGAAACTAATAGTAAACCGACCAAAGTACCTGAACGTGTAGATTGTAGAAGGACGTTCTTGTCCCTCCGAATGACTTGAACGTGGAAGCATTTATTAGAGGATAGCCATGATAATTCAAGGTAAGCAATATCTCAGAGAAGTCGACAGTATTCTGAGTCATGACCTTTGTTGTGCATATTTGGATTGCAACCTCACTCTCACTCAAACGATTTGTCGAAATAGATGGCACCGAATTGGGAAGTGCACCGTTTCGTTTGCTGTTTTCTTGGCGAGGGCAATCATCTCTTCCTTGGGTGGCATTGATTCTTGATAGAAGTTCTTCCTTCTCTTGAGCGAGTGTCTGCAGTTGCTGTTGCAGTTCTGGTATGTGTTTCAGCACTCGGGACACTGTCTCCGGAATACTCAACTTTTTCTAGAGGGAAAAGGACAAGATCAAACTCTGTTAAAACCCAATAAGTGTCTTCCTTTAATTTCTCCGGACCCAAGACAGAAAGATAACTATGTAGTGACTTGAAGTTGAAGCAGCTACAAATAAAAAGTATAGAACATCACGTTATGCATTAAGGATTTAGAGAATAACACAGAAACTAGGGTTCATATGTGATCAACAATATTGTCCACTAGCTACTACTCTTTATTATTCTCTCCATCAGTTTTTTCTGTTTTCGGCAAAGTGTGTACCCGAGGAAAGGAAATAAAAGACTAGTTCCAACAACTTCCTTGTAGATACAGGACTTAAGGATTACCGTTTGATCAGCAGACGGAAGCAGCGAACGGAGCGTGGAGTACAAACTGTTGATTTTCTTCCGCCGATCGCGCTCGCTGGCGTTGTGGTTCAGCTTCTTGACCATCGTGACTTCGCCGTTCTTCGCTGCAAATGGGATATTGGAATGATCAAGTACTAGCTCCGCATGAGGAGACGGTGATGAGAAGGGAAAATGGAGAGGAGGTGGTGAAGAGCAAGTGCGGGCATCTCTGTGCTTGCAGTTCTCTTGTTCATGGCAGGTTGAATCCTCAAAGGGCCAAACACTAGGAGAAAAAGACAACATTTGTATGCACAATTCTTTTTGGGGTTTCCGATATTTTTAGATCTATAAGAAGGTGGATGATCATGACTTGCTTATATATAAACCTCCATTAAGGACCTCAGCTAAACATTAATGGCATAGTATATTGGGAAAAATTGACTTAAGGTGAGATGATCAATTGCTCTCTCTCTCTCTCTCTCTCTCTCTCTCTCTCTCTCTCTCTCTCTCTCTCTCTCTCTCTCATAGTTTTTTTCCTTTTATGGTGGATCATTCAAATCAATTTTGAGGAATCGATCCGGATATCATATATATCATCCTCAACTATACTTACTTTATAATAAGATATCTTATGTGAACTTTCTTTTTGCTATTTGGAACTATCATAATGACCCAACGCAAAAATTGTAGATGTTTGCAATGATAGGATGAAATCTCGTTTAATGTTTTATCAAGTATTTTCCGAATGATTTGTCAATCCAAAGGGAGAATATTTGATATTTTTTGCAACTGTTCACGTGGTATTAATATTGATTACAGGTCTGATTTTATATTTCCAACTTGATGAAAGGCAGATTACAAGTACTTTACATATCACTTTCTTGAGAATATTTAACTAAGGGGACGGTCGTTTGTTTAATGCCTGATTAGATTGTACAATCGTGTTGGTGAAAGAAATGGGGAAAAAATAGTGACTTGTGAAGAGCGCATGCCATGCACACCAGAACACGAGCACACAACGAGGTTTTGACCTAAATTCCCGTGCAAGAATTGCCATGCCACAGGAAAGCACGCAATCTCCTCGTGTTCAGTTGCATCAGGGACAGGTAAATATTAATAATTCCCACGATGCAGTAATACCAGAGGAGTTTCTTGTCAGGATTTTGCAGAATCTTTTCTCCTGAAGTGCCTATTCTTTCAATTCAAAGCATCTCAGCCTTCTTTAGGAAAATATTCTTTCGACCGTTTCTGGTGTCAACATTTACTTGGTGCTCTATAGGACAAGAACAGAGGATACGTTTAGTGGTAAGTGGTTTCAGGTTCCTTATAAGTTTCATCTAAAATCTGAAATCTACCATCGGGTACAGGTTTCTCATTTTTTGGAACTTGGAACCTATCCGTTGAAACTTGGAACCTGAAACCTACACTGTCACAGGTTCCAGGGTCTAACAAGTTATTTTTTTTATTTCATTTTTAGTTAAACAAAATAAAAATGAACACAATAATACTGAACAAGTTTGTCATTCATCAAAAGGAAAACAAAAGATTAGTTTTCCTGACATTACAGTTCAAATAAATACAATTAAAATGAGAAGTCATTGCATGAATTGATATCAGGGGTAAGTGGTTCCATGTTCCGTACAGGTTCCACCTGAAACCTATCCATGAGAATAGGTTCCTCATTTTTTGGAATTTGAAACCACCCTATCACACGTTCCAGGATCTACCCAAGTTCCCGTATATTATTAATTGAACAATTGTAATGAATCATCACCTTTAATGACTACCACTTGTTGTTTTAATCTACTGACCACAATTTATATTTAAACACACGAATTATATGAAACATTAACAAGTCATAAAATAAAAGCTCAAACTAATGGTTCTAGATTATACATTCATCATCTAACGCCATAAAACACCACAGAATCACGTGAAGACATAGACCAAGAAAAAACGCAAAAAACTTATTTAAGTACCAGGTTCCAGGTTCCACCTACCTAGAACTTGGAACCTATCCGTCGAAACAGGTTTCCTAATTTTTGGAACTTGGAACCTACCATGCATACCTTAGAACCTAAAATCTACATGTTCCCATCGGTCAAGTTCTCAAGTTTCAGAGTAGAATCTATAATCATGCTCACCCCTAGACACGCTCATCTAAATTGGGATACTAAGCCAACAGCCTCCTGCATCATACTATCGGCACAATGCAAGCATCATCGTAATCATCGTGTTATGTGCGTCTCCAAACCCATCACCTGATGGGACCTGTGTACATCTTCACTCCATTTATAAAGGTCGACTTCAGGTCACCTCCTTGATACGCCGTTCTCTCTTTCTTTCTTTCCTCCTCCTTCTTGGTGCTCGGTGGCACCGCCCCGGCGTGGAGGCGAAAGCGGTGGGGTTTTGTCTCGCCCGCAACTGCGTGTGAAGTCGGTTGTTTGGTATCAGGGTTTTCTATCTGTCCGGTCCACTTCCTTCGTCCCTTGGCTTTTGGGGCTGGGTTCAATAGGTTCTACCTTTCTTCTAACTTTCAGCTTCCAAAATAAACGAAGCTGGGAAAAGCAAAGCAAAAAGTTTGAAGAAGCTTTTGAGTTTCTTGCTTGCCATTTCACTGTTCCGCGTCCTCAAAATGTGCCAAGATTGTTTGGTTGGACTTATAAAGAAGTCAAAACTAACTTGTTTTATTTACTTTCAGCCAAGATCCAAAATATTTATTCAAATAGTTAAAATCTATAAAATATCATATCTGAATCCAAGAGTCAATATTTACATATTGTGAAAATTTCAAATGTTTAAGATTAAAAACAATCAAAATGTAACATCGATTAAAAAGTTGATTATTAGTAAAATAGATAAAGATCGCTAAATAAACTCTTTTTAAGTGTTAGTAACATTGAATAACTTTTGGGGGAATCAAAAAAAAATTCAGCAGGTGAATTATTAGTAAATTATCAACCTTGTTTCGAGTTATTCAGTTAATTGACCTTTATTTGATCGTTCGTAAATTACCAATTTTTCAAATAACTTACTACCATTTTTTAGCAGCTTATCCACGTTGTTTTATGCATGCTATAGCCAGTGCTCTAAAATTATCGACTTTTACAACAATTTACCAACCACGATTAAAGCGGCCCGACATCTATCAATTAAGGGGCGTTACCATTCCACCATTCCAGACAAATTATCTCAGAAGTTAGAAATGTACAGCTAGTATTTACACGTACAGGCAAGAAGAATTTCTCTGTACAATTGGGCAACAAAACTTTCCTGACTCTTATCGAAGACTCTCGACGGTCGCCTGCAAAATACAAGTATGTATACAGCGATGCAACATCGACCTGTGCGGACATCATGGCTGAACATGTCCCTTGGCAGCAGCAAGCTGTTTCTTGAGGTTGAGGACCTCAATGCCATATGATGCTAGACGATCCTTGAGCTTTCCTGAAGCCTCCTCATACTTTCTATTCATCAGGTCTTGTTCATTTAGCGCTTCAGTGCATCGGTATCTCATGGCGTCCAACTTTGCCTGCGTCCACCGTAGTCTCATCCTCAACTTTGCTTTTTCCTTGCCATTGTTGACTTCTTGCTGTTTGTTGTTACCATAAGAATCAGATAACAATAAAATTAATTATAATACTTGTAAAGTAAAAGCTTTTAGCAAGAGGAACTGAACAGGAAGCAGACAACCCTTTCTATCATTGTTCTTCCCCTCTTTTTTCGAACATTCTAGGCAAGAATGGTCTAGATTCTGATCAGGAAATACACAAAACCCTGAGGGCCTATCACCTTACAACTTAGCAGAAGTATAATGTTAACTACAAAATCCATATATTACAAAGCTAGAGCATAAGTTTTTCCCTCCGAGGTTAGGCGTTTGGTTCTGCCAAAAGATGGTGCAAAAACCAAGCAAATCTAATGCCTGAAAACAGAAAACGCTAGAAGGGCCATCCAAAAATTTAGCAGAGGTAGTGTCTCCACATCTACCTAAGCCCCAATTGCCAACTCCATAGCAGAGCTCAAAGCGTTAACCAAGAAACAATACAATTATGTTAAAAAACAACTTTTCCATCTTAATGAAGATACTGCAACTCCCAATCAGAGTGGATGGACGAAAGTTTTCAGGGATCTAATCTTTCTAGTAAAATTACATTATGCAAGTGTGAATATCGAAATTATACACCTAATTTGACCCCCAGTGCCCCCAAAGGAAAAGCATGTACTCCATCTAAAAGGAGGGAATGAATGATAGTTCTGCTGGATAATACGACACAAAGTCTGGATAGTAGCAAGACTAAATAGACAAAAGAGACTAGCGATATAACAAACAAAGCTGTTAAGGCCGATTGAACCACGTAATATGTTCCTTTATGTGAACGTTGTGCTTCTACCAATTTCACACTATACATTATAATTGGATAAAATTAATCCGTCGTACTCGTATAGAACAAGGCTAATGCAGAGCATGTTGTTCCAGGACTCAGACCTCAACCACCAGTAGCATACTGTATGGTGTTATGGACTTATATAAGTAGTTGAATTTCGCACATCCTACATAATGTAGCTATTAAACATTCTAATCCCGAGATCTACCACTTACAAGAATACCAAGTCTATCAGCAAAAATCTTTAATATGAGAAAAGGACGGACATCCCCAGTGGGCAAACTTACAGTGTGCAGCTTTATTTCCATAGTGGAAATCCTGTCAGACAGTATATCTGCTTGAACTTCGGTCTCAGATATCTGAAAGAAAACATCTCATCCTGTAACTTTTGATACTTTTCGTGCCAATTAAATGCTAATTATGCTCAAGCACTTTCGTCAAACTACCTTGTCATTTTGACTTATTTTCAGGGATTCAAGTTCAACCATGTGCCTTTGCTGCTCCTCTAATTGAGTCTTTAACCTATCCCGTTCAGTTGTTATGTTATGAAGTTGGCTCTTAAAATTCTGAGGACAGAAAAACAAAAACGGTAAAGAGTACGCAATCAATGCTGAAAACTTACAGCATAATCTGATCTTACTGAGCAAGTATATCTTAGAGGCTATTCTTTCTGGACAATCTAACCTGCAGATTACTTGCCAGATCTGTTCCACTTTCTAACTCTGTATGTTTGATAAAAAGATCTTCCTTTTCTTTCTTAAGGATCTTCAGCTCCGTCTGTAGCTGATTTACTCTCTGGCAAGCATCATTATACTCCAAATTTATGGTCTCAAGTTCTGACTTCATCTTCTACAGGGAAAAGAATCAATTAGCCTGAAAACCATCGACTGCAACTGTTCAACTTTTTACGCTTCCATCCATAAATTAGCAGAAAAGATAAGTGCTTACGATTTGGGAATGTTTATTCTCCACATCAGCCAATTCGAGGGCATGTTTCAATTGTTCAATCTCTATAGTCTTGTGCCTACTGCAAAAAAGTTGAATAACTGAAACATTAACATTGGTGAAACAGACAAAGGAGGCTTGATTCTCTGGAAGCTAAACCTTTATACTGGCCATCTAACCACCAGCTCATAATGGAGCAGGAATTTCATTGATCTAAAAATTAACAATCTATAAAATGCATCATTCCCCTTAGCAGGGGAAGAATCTGAAAAAAAAAAACAAAGGGTGCAATTAATTACAATCTTTTTGCCCAGCTTTTCGAGCCAAAGAAGAATAGGATAACATTTAAAGTAATAGTGCTCAGAGCAGCACATGAAAAGATTGAAAAGTATTCCTATGGAACTCAACTATGAGAACAATGGTTGAGACAAACCTGTGCTCTCTCTCCAGTTCTGTCTCTTCCTCATAAAGTTTTAATTGCTCTATAAGGACCTTGAATTGATCCTTAGAGAATTCGAGTTCATTCTTCACCTTAGATTCAGATAAGAGGGATCAAAATAAGATGGAGTTCTCCGTAGGAAAGCGACAATATAATCCAATAAATTCTAAACATCCATAACAAAGACATAAAGAAAGTGACAGATGTAATATGCATGACCGAATTAGCATTCTTCAAAGTTCACACAAAAATGAAGTTACCTCCAAAGGAAAAGATAGTTAAATGAAATTGATGCCTTCAACAAACAACAAACGAAGTTTGCATTTAATTCCCCTCTTTCAGTGTCGACGGAATTCCTTCCGGGAGTCACTAAGAAATTTACCCCATATTAGTTAACTTCTCAAAAACTGCAGTTTGAAAGCAACGGTGCTCATCAGTTATCCTCAGTTGTTTAATTATTTGATTCAGAGTTGACATGTAGCCAGTTTTTCTCAGACTATTTCTGCTACTTTTATTGAGTCAAAGGAATTTATGTTTTACCAATTTGTCAGTATGTATTTTCCTGGTTTTTCAACTTATTGATTTAGAAACTTAACAAAATATAACTACTGCAATAAAATAGATACATCCACAATTTAAATAGTAAAAAAGTAAATTCCCAAACAAAAAAGATCAAAGACCTCTAACCAAAACACTTTTTGCCTTTATAGCCAGGATGCTGATTCAGTACCATATATAACAATTGAAGAAAAAGTTTGTAGGTTTTACTTGGAGAGATAATAACTAGCTCCCCAGTAAATTTTCTTGCAACTGTTGTATGTTCTTTTCCCAAACTTAAGCATCACTCTAATTGCAATCCCTTGTTGGACCACTATTCAACATACACGTTCTTGATCTATAGTGAGGTATTGTTTAACATAGGTTGAGTGAACAGCAAGTGCATGACAAAATAAAGAGAAAAAAACAGAGGACGTAATTTGAAAGCAATCTAAAGTTTGAGTTGACACTTTATTGACTTTAAGAAACACAATTTCAGAATTCTAACAATAGTTTGTTCATGAGTGTTTAAGGACCAGTGCCAGCCCAAAAGAAAAAAGGAAAATATTCAGCTCCTGCACCAACTCATATAACTATTACACTATCAAATAAAGTAGACTATAGTGACCATCTTGATGTAGATACTTTTTAAACTTACTAATCTTGCACTTTCCTCAATAGTATTTTTAGCGAAAAGAATAGATCACGGAAATATTAAATGTTGTCAACACTAAAATTGAACTTGCCACTCTATTATCTGACTTGGATAAGCCAATGTTACGCTTGTGAGTAGAAAAGTGTAAATACCCCTTTTGAAGAGCTTAGCAGGCTCAATGTACAGTGCAAATCATATCGTTGGAGTAAAAGCATTCTTGATTTGAAATAGTCATAGAAGTTACAGCTACACGAGATGTTTTGAACTTAGACAATTTAAGGAGATCTATGCAAAATTGAAACTTCCATAAGAAAAATTGTTATTATATGTTACCTCAGACAGTTCTGTGGATAATGATGTAATCTCTGCATTAGACAACTTAGTGTTTTCTTCTATGGCTTTAATGCTAGCTTTCTCCTTAGCAGACCATATAGCCTTCTCCTCCTCCATTTCCAGCAGGGAATCTGTTAGTTGCTGCAAATGCCAATGTACCCAGCAATGAAGCCAACTTCAGGAAACACCTAAACGGTACACACTTTGCTTGTGACTCAACTTTATTTTCCTACCATAGCTAACTCTTCCTTTTCATTTACCAACTGATTGATTGATGCTTCCAGCTTTTGCTGATAAGATTGAGATTCTTCCAATTTGCCATTCTGGAAAGGGACAGAACAAGATGCCATATGAGATTGATAAAGTGGAGCTCAGAAATTCACTTCATTGCACCATAAACAAAAAGTTGAGAATTTTGGAGTCAGAACTAAGAGCTGTCAAAGCTTACAAGCTTCGAAATTTCTTCCTGCAACCCTGTTAATTCTGAACTTGACGTGCTCATGTTTTGAGATTGAACTTCCAATTCCAAGGCCAAACTCTCACATTTAGACATAACTTCATCCTTTTCCTTACATGCAGCTGCTAATTCCTCTTCTAAGGAGGCAATAGTCGCTTCCATCTCAAATGCAAGAACTTCCAACCTTCTGTACTCTTCCTGAAAAATACAATCAAAAGAGAGAAACCAATTGACAAAAGCCGTGGGTTTGAAGCTTCTTCCATTCTCCCACATCGTATAATGACATGACTTTGAAGCTCAAAAAGCCAACCTCTTTTTTTTATTACCAAAAAAAATGGGAAAATTGAACAACTTTAAGGAACGCCTTCACAAGATTCCATTTAAAAAATTTCTAATACATTTTATAAAGTTGCGCAATATGAAATTAGGGGTTAAGAAGTGCAATCGAGGAATAAGCAGCAGAACTTTTGACCACCAAAAACGTACAAATGCAATATAAGACATAAAATAAAGGGAAAATATAAAAATCTGTCTCCTTAAATAAGTTTACTCAAGAATATAATTAGCTAGAGATACATAACAAGTTCCATAATTCCTGCGCATTTAGTTAGAAATAGAACATCTTGACAAATGCATCCGCATCCATGTAGAGTTGCCCAGTTTAAACTGCTTATCAAATAGCATCATGTTAATTACTGTACACACAAACCTACCGGTTACCTTCCGGATCTAAACCACACAAATAGGTGTCAATGAACATTATCCAGTCAAGGGAAGCATAAGCAGACAAAGGGTCAGAGTACATTGCAACTCATCAAAAAACTAAAGAAGCATTTCGCACACAACATCAACACATTGGGTAGCCTTGACCACTTAACAAATGAAGACCAAAATGATTTATGAGCCTGTCCAAAAAAGAGAGGAAACAATAGTACATAACATGTCCAAACGGTCAAGAAGCACAGCTAGCTCTTTCATAGAATGACTCAGCTGACAAAAACTCAGCCCAACAAGTAGATGGTGGCAAGCAGAGAACTATCAATCAAACAGGTTACAAGCTCGAAATCAATTGAGAATAAAATTGAATTTCATTCTATCCCCAAAAGAAATATTTATTAGTGTCGTTTGTTTTATCTTGTACCCCCACCCAAAAAAAAAGCCGGACCATTGACTTGTGAGTTTTGACAGACAAGGGAAAACAGAACGTAAATCCATAACCATCCATAGCCAGTTTGCAAGTATGCAGAATGCATAAGGGAAGTGACAATTTCAATGATTAGCACCTGCATTGTCTGGTCAATATGAACGTGGCCCTTAGACCTTTTCGAATCAATTGCAACTGAATCACGCCGTCTCCCAGCAAGTGACTCCCGTTTATTGATATCCCTTTCTAAAAGAGCCTTCTGACCATGCAATAATTTTATCTCCCTCTCAGCAGATGCTTTTTCACCCTGATGGTGCGGGAGTCCATGAGTGATCCTGTCATTTGCAGGAAACTAAAAAAAAAGGATAGCAAAATTAAATTCATGTGACACCTCAAGCTTAGTCTTTTCTTGGACAACATTCCTCAGCTTGAATTCAGCCTCTTTCAACTTCAACTTTGTTTTATCCAGATCTTTCCTCATATTCTCCCTTTCTTTTGCCAAGGTGGATGAGGATAAGCACAAGATTTCCTTTTGAAGATTCTGTATTTGGGATAAAAGTTCTATCTTTTCCGACTCAGTTTGCTCCCTGAGTTCCTATGTAAAGACCAACAACTTGGATAATTAATGTGTAGCAATATACCAAAGCCCAAGGATTATATTAAGAGTCCAAACTTACCGCCAAGGCCCTTTCAGAACTTTCAGCATCAGTTTTCATTTCTTGTATTTGCCTCTGGAGACCATCAGAGAAATCTTGAGAAAGAATCTGCATTTCATATTCAGTTGCAGAGAAAATAATTTAGACTAACCAAATAGCGACTATCATATTTTCCGAGTGAAGAAGTACAGTACCTTCTCACTCTCAAGTTTATAAACTTTCTCCTTGATGTAATCATGCAACCTCCCATGGTGAATGGTAACTAATTTCTGTTGCTGAGATGTCTGACTTGAAAGGGTCTTAATATCCTGTGTACAACCCAACACTTATACATACAGGCCACAATAGCACAAAAGGGCATTTATTTTCAGTTAAATCGGATAGGATATCAATAGAATGCCAACTCCAGGTGCCAGGAGATCTAAAAATTCAGGAGAATAAACTGCCACTACTCAGATTATGGGCTGAATGTGCACTAAAATTCGTAGGTGAGTGACTTAGAATTCAGTAAATCTTTCTTTTGGGATGGTAAAATGCAACAAGTACTCACAAGAAGGGTGCTTGACACACTAGAAAAACTCTGGAAAACCTCATCCATAAGTGAAAAAGCGCCATCTACATAATTTTGCAAATTTTGGACTTCAATCATTATATCTTGAACTTCCATGGAAAGCTCGACCAAAGAGTCAAAGTTGCCCTGCTGAAGAAGAGAAACAATGTGTTAAGTTTCAGTTTTTGTTTTGAGAACATCGGTGCAGCAGAAACGATGCGAATATCCCCAGATCACAGAGATAGAAAACCAGCAATAAAATGCATTATTTGAAACCAAAAATCCTTTGTAAGGAAGTCTTTCTTGAGCAATCCTTGCCTCCTTATGTGCACTAAGAAGTTCTTCGCAAATTTTAAAAAATGACATCCAATCCAACAGAAAATAAGATAGTGAAGCATCTGGTAAAAGTCATAGAAGTTGAAACATGCAATGGAATTATAAAAGCTGCAGAACTTCCTTGGCAGAATGAGGTGCAGCATCACTATGCAAGACATACAAGCACAGTAGTGCTCATGAGAATTGTTAGAAGTAGTAAAAGGGTAATGTGGTCCTTAGGACCTTTAGGTCTAATTTTTGGTATATGTATTGGACACTAGTTGTGAATACAAGATAAGCTTTTCCCTCTCTCTCTCTATTTCTCATGGTATCAGAGCCCCGACCCTAGCGGCTGCCGCCGGAAAAACCCGTCGCCGGCGCCGTCGCCGGAACAACCCGTCGCCGGCGCCGTCACCGTCGCCGAAACAACCCGTCGCCGGCCACCCCAGCTCGCGCGGGGCTCCAGCTCGCGCGATTCAGATCATGTGGGTCACGTGAGCCTGGTGATTGGAGGTTTCCTCGCCATTGATGTGAACTGAAGGTCTCCTTGGCTCCGTGAACTGAAGGTCTCTCCCCCTCTGTTCCTCCTTTGTTCCTCTGGAATTGCTTTATGCAAGAAATTTGTGAAACTGGCCAGTAGTTTCAGCATGTGTTATTGTCCCTCAATGGAATGACAAGCAAATGAAAATTCTGCAAGATGGATTTCAAGCTGGCAGGAAGGTGTTCTTAGCCTTTTCATAGTTGCCTGCAGTGGTTTTGTTGCTGGACTATGCTGTCGTTGTTGCCTTGCTTGCTTTCGACGCTCTTCAATACTGGCCAGGTTAGATTGCTTGGATGTTAGACCTTAGATTATGGATGTTTGATCAATCGGGTTATGGTTTATCGATTGGTGGAGCTGTGGAGGAAGGCTGGTAACATTAACGAGGCTTGGGAGCCAGTATATGGTCTGTTGAAGTGCTGAATTATTGTGCCAGTATACGGTCTGCTGGGATATTGAAGGATGGGTGATTCTGAGAGGAATAATCCTGTGATGACTGAGGTGATGTCCTCTTCGTCTAATCGAATTACTGATAAGAAGCTTGTGGGTAGTTATAACTTCCATCAATGGAAGAAAATTGTGAAGCTTACTTTGACAGGCAGGAATCAGATTAGACACATAACTGAGCCGAAACCCGAAGATGATGCAAATTGGAATATTGTTGATGCATGCATCCTTGGTCAGATGTTAAACGCTATGGAAAATAATATAGTTGATCTAGTAACTCATATTGACACGGTCAAAGAAATGTGGGAGTATTTGAATGTATTATATTCTGGCCAAAATAACCTGTCACGAGTTTATGAGTTATCGCAGGAGTTTTACTGATTTGAAAGGAAGGGACGTCCTACGACGCAATACTTTGTTGAGTTTAAGAGAATGTATGAGGAGTTGAATGCTATTCTTCCCATTTCAGCCAATATTCAACAAATGCAACTTCAAAGAGAACAATTGGCTGTAATGGTGTATCTAGCAGGCATTGGTCCTGAATATGAAACTGTTAGGTCTCAGATTCTTGGAGGAGAGGCTGTCGCATCACTCACGGATACGTTTGCTCGGGTACTTCGGGTATCTCATGAGTCTCCTCAGGATATTACACCTATGGCAGATAGTTCAGCTCTTGTGTTCCAATCTCGATCGGGTAGCGGTAGCAGGAGTGATGGAGGAAATCGTGGAGGATATAGTGGACGTGGTGGCCGAGGAGGCCGAGGTGAAGGACCAGGGAGAGGCCAAGGCCAACAGCATGTGTCTACTAACAACTTAGGGGCCATACGGACGTGTCATTACTGTGGGAAAGCTGGCCATATTCAAAAATTTTGTTACAAGTTACATGGAAGATCAGTGCAGCAACAACAGTTTGCACATACTGCTTCTGGTACTGATTCTTCTCCACAATCTTCTGAAGGCAAGGTAGTTGTTATGTCTGATTAGGAGTTTGCACGGTACACCCAGTCTCAGATTTCACAGTCTGCTTCTTCCACTGCTACTTTGGTACAGACAGGTAATGCGACTACATGCCTTTCAGCTGCTTCTTGTCCTTGGATCATTGATTCAGGGGCTTCTGACCACATGTCAGGTCTTTCAGGTATATTTTCCTCTCTTACTTCATCTTCATCCAAGGTAACCATAGCCAATAGATCATCTACATATGTTAACGGGGTTGGCACAGTTTATCTAACTCCTTCATTGCCATTGTCCTCAGTGCTTTATCTTCCTCAATTTCCGTTTAACCTCATGTCTGTCAGTAAATTAGCCAAAAACTTTCAGTGTTCAGTAACATTTTACCCTAATTCTTGTATTTTTCAGGATCTGGCTACGAAGAGGACGATTGGTAGAGGACATGAGGCAGGGGGGTTGTATGTACTTGAAGACGCTCCTCCCATTGCATGTCCTAATGTTGCATCCTTACATCAGATCCATTGTCGACTTGGTCATCCTTCTCTACATAGCCTTCAGAAGTTAGATTCTAGTTTTAGATCCCTTTCTAGTTTAGAGTGTGAGTCATGCCAACTGGGCAAATTACATCGTATTAGTTACCCGCCACGAGTTATTAAACGAGTAGCGTCCCCGTTTTTGTTAGTTCATTCAGATATTTGGGGTCCTTGTCATGTGGCTTCTAATATGGGTTTCAAATATTTTGTTACTTTTGTTGATGACTATTCCAGGGTAACATGGTTATATCTAATGAAAAATCGTTCAGAATTGTTTTCTATATTTCGTGCATTTGTATATGAAATTCATACTTAGTTTGGTGTGCAGGTTAAAGTTTTGCGTTCTGATAACGCTAAAGAGTACTTTTCTGCACCTTTTTCTGACTTTATGACTCAACATGGTATGATCCATGAATCTTCCTGTCCTGATACACCACAACAGAATGGTGTTGCTGAAAGAAGAATAGACACTTATTGGATGTTACTAGATCCATGTTGTTTGAAATGAAGGTTCCCAAAACCTTTTGGTATGATACTGTTCTAACTGCATGCTATCTCATCAATCGCATGCCATCTTCTGTTTTGCGAGGTGGTATTCCTTTTTCTATTTTGTTTCCAAATGTGTCACTGTTTGTCTTACCACCCCGTATTTTTTGTTGTGTCTGTTTTATTTGTGATCATCGACCTGGAGTATCAAAACTTGATCCCAAGGCTATCAAGTGTATGTTTTTGGGTTGTTCTCGTACTCAAAAGGGATATCGTTGTTATTCTTCATTACTGAAAAAATATTTTATAACTGCTCATGTTTCATTCTTCGAATCCACGCCTTACCATGATGTTCCAATTTCTGTTTCTGAGTTTGATGAAGACTTCTATGTGACTACCCTTCGGTCACCTGCTCCAACTACTGGTACACAGGAACCACCTCCTCTCCAGGTTTATACTCGACGTCCTCGAGTAGCTACTATTTCCCCCCTTTCTCATGACACTACTACGTCATCTTCAGCTCCAGATCCGCCATACACGTACTTGTACTCAACACTCTATTGCAAATTTCGTCTCATATTCTTCTGTCTCTCCTTCTTTTCGATCCTTTCTATCTACTGTGGACCAATATCCTATCCCCAAATCTGTATCTGAAGCATTACAAAATTATGGCTAGAGGACAGCAATGGAAGAAGAACTAATGGCTCTCCAGTTTAATCAGACTTGGGATTTGGTACCTCTTCCTTCAGCCAAAACTGCTATTGGTTGTCGTTGGATATTTCTTTGTGAAAGTCAATCCCAGATGATTCTCGGCTCGTTTAAAAGCACGACTTGTTGCAAAAGGGTATGCTCGGGTTTATGGAGTTGACTATCTAGATACTTTTTCTCCTGTTGCCAAACTTACTTACATTCGTATTTTGATATCCCTTCTTACCCATATAAGCGGCATTTATTTCAAACTTGATGTTAAGAATGCCTTACTTGCATGGTACTCTTCATGAGGAAGTTTATATGGAGCAACCTCCAGGGGTTTGTTGCTCGAGGAGTGCAGGGTTATGGTTTGCAAATTAAAAAGTCTTTATATGGTTTGAAGCAATCCCCTGAGCATGGTTTGGAAGATTTTACGATCTTTGTACTTTCTTTTGGGTTTGTCTAGATGTGGAAATGATCATTCTTTCTTTTATAAACAGATCACGGGGAGGCAAAGCTGTTCTTGATTGTGTATGTTGATGATATTATCAATCACGGGAGATGATTTGACTGGTATAGCTAAACTAAAGATTTATCTTCAGCAACAGTTTCAGACTAAGGATTTAGGAAAATTGAAGTATTTCCTAGGAATTGAAGTTGCTCAATCACATAAAGGTATTGTTCTATCACAAAGAAAATATGTGCTGGATTTGCTTAATGAGACAGGTATGTTGGGATCAAAACCTCTTGATTCACCCATGGAACAAGGGGTCAAACTAGCTGCTGAGGGAGGAGAAACTCTTGATAACCCAGAGAGATATAGGAGACTGGTGGGAAAACTGAATTATCTCACAGTCACTCGACCAGATATTGCCTTTCCAGTTAGTGTAATAAGCCAGTTTCTATCTTCTCCTCGTACATCTCATTGGAATGCAGTTATTCGGATATTGAGGTACTTGAAAAAGACTCCAGGAAAAGGAATTATTTACCAAAATCATGGTCATAGCAAAGTCGAAGGATTCTCGATGCTCATTAGAGGCGGGGTCTCGAGATGATAGAAGATCAACTACTGGCTATTGTACCTTGGTTGGAGGAAATCTAGTATCATGGAAGAGTAAGAAACAAAATGTTGTTGCACGCTTGAGTGCCGAGTCAGAATATAGAACCATGGCACAAGTGACATGTGAATTAGTGTGGATTCAAAAGTTATTGACTGAGATAGGCTTCAAAGCTTCAGTACCCATGACTCTATGGTGTGACACTAAAGCTGCAGTGCATATAGCTTCCAACCCTGTGTTTCATGAGAGAACAAAATACATTGAGGTTGATTGTCACTTTATTCGGGAAAAGTTGCAGAGTGGAATGATCATTCCCAATCATATTCGAACCGGTGAACAACTTGCAGACATTTTTACTAAACCTTTGGGTAATGGGAGGATAGAATATATTTGTAACAAGCTGGGCATGATTAATATCTATGCTCCAGCTTGAGGGGGAGTGTTAGAAGTAGTAAAAGGGTAAAGTGGTCCTTAGGACCTTTAGGTCTAATTTTTGGTATATGTATTGGACACTAGTTGTGAATACATGATAAGCTTTTCCCTCTCTCTCTCTCTCTCTCTCTCTCTCTCTCTCTCTATTTCTCAAGAATTTTAGCTGTGCAACAAATCATAGACAGGTACATGAACACATAAAGTAAGGTTGACACATGCAGCATATACAGAACTCTACCATAAAAATTGGACTTTGACGTAAGAGATGACACCACAAAAACTGAGAGCATACTTGATGGACATCCCTAGGATGGGGCACTCTGTCCTTCCATTAGTTATGCTTACATATTATCTAAGGACCCACATATCGTGATACCCTTTTGATTATTTCTTTCCCTTCATTAGATTACCCACAATGCATAGCTCATATGATAATTGCACATTTATGACAGTGCGCAACATTCTTTCCTTTTCCATTTTCCATTCTAACTTTTCACAAAACTTCTCCGGATAACAGTACTTCTACTTTCCTCTCCTTTCTCTTAACGATTGTTTCAAGCTAAATACATTGCTTCCGCTCATACATAAACATTTACATTTTGGCATAAAAAAGGAATGAAAATACAGGCAGTGCATGCTGCAAACAAATAATAAAATACCTCCTCTAACTTCTTCTCAACAGATAATTTGTTTTCTGCTGCCATCTCAACATATTTATCCAAATTCTGTTGGCTCAAAGTTTTCTCGATCTCCAAAACCTTGATCTAGAATGTAAAGACGACAAAATAAAAGAATGTGGCAGAAAATTGGCTGTGATTGGACGGTATCAAGAATTTGAGAAAGAGAAATGTACAGCAGAAAGAAACGGATACCTGATCTTGGAGTTGCTCTATCACAAGATGAGCCTCTGGCTCTCCAGGACATGTAACATTATTTTCTTGTTTTACGTAAGAAAAAAATTTGGCTTCAGTTAGCATTCTCGTTAAGCAATCCACTTGTATAGCATTGGCGATTCTCTGTATAATACCAGAGAGGAAAGGAAAATGTAACAAACAAAAAAGCGACAAAAATGGAGGGAAAGAAGCAGATGCAAATATTTACCTGAGCTTCAGATTCCATCAACAGATTCTCATACTCTGCATGGATATCAGTAGACTCATTGATGACCTGCCACATTACAAGCCTTAGACATTGATACTCAAAAGAACATACATTAATGAACTGAAAGGCTTTTCACAAACCACAGGTGCACTTTTATTTTTCACTGTTGCTTTCCTCCTATTAGTCACGTGCTGCAGAGCTCGTGGATGAGGAAGATTAGGGTCTTCCACTCTCTTTCGATCACTAAAAACGTTTGTGTTAGTTTCGGTGTCCTCAAGTAACTTATCAAAAGGAAGAAGTGGACCAACATCCCGTTTAGCTCGTCGAGGTTCGAGAGTAGAATCCTTCAAGTCAGGCACGGAGTAAGCCTAATATTGAAGAAAAGTAACTTAGAGTAAAGCAAGGAGATATGAGGGCAACTATACTTGATTCTAGAAAGAATCATGAAGCAACAAGGAAATCAGGTGAGAAAAATGTAAAAAAGAGCGGTAAAAGAAACAAATCCAAGAATTACTTGTGATGGAAATTGGCTACTTATCATCCTCATACCTTAAGAGTTGCTTCCCACTTAATTGCCACCCTTCAAATTCCAGACAACTCCAACCCCAAACCCCAAAGAGCAAAAGTACAAAAACAGGGAGGGGGTGTTGGGAAACAAAGAAAGAAGGAAGGATATTGCAAAAGTACTTGAGTTGGCAAAGTCCTTAGTCCTTATACCAAATCTACTAGGCATGAGCTCACTTTTCATTATGGAATTAGAACAATACCGTGGTGTTAAACAAGGTGAAATGGCATGGATTAAGGCGGCCAACTCTACTTAGTAAGAATAAACTGCATTTGCTGTGTACTTACTTTAAGGCCAAAGTTATTTGTGTACTGACCATTCGTTTTATAAAAATGACCATATTTCACGATTAAATGACCGAAATAGATTTTTTTTTGTTGATATCATTGCCATTTACTAGTTAGATAGTGAGATCTCAGATAATTTGGTTAGCAACTGACACAAATCTTTTACTTGCATCAAATTAGCCTATCTAATATGAAGTAGTTGTCAATTCAAATTTTGGTCCAGCTGTTCCAAAAGCTACTATAGTGAGTCTCTCTATCCTTCATATACATGACACAACCTGCTTATCTTTTCTTTACCTTTAAAATACAACTACAACCAAGCATGGCATGTTTGGTAAACATTATAGTAGTAAAGCTAATCAACGGCTGCCTTTCGACACAATCTATATTAAAACAACCAGGTTTTAGCATTTGGCTGGATCCCAGAATTTTTTTAAGATGACTCCATGTGCAAGAAAAGAAATCTCTCTCATCACGGATGTATTGTGCTCAAATTTCCAGTCAGTTCATGGTCGAGAAGCCTTTCAAAGAGTTTTTTAAGATAATATTTCATATTCACTATTTGCTACAGCTAGGCCCCAGGCTCTTAACTGCTTGTCAAGGTTCAAAGACCAGTCAAGAAGTCTTTCTAATTTCAGACATAAAATGCACTTTATCTAAGCTGCTTGTCGAAAACTGAATTTCCCTTTAAATTATCCAGAAATATTGTTAAGGATATGCCACATACAGTTGATATAAAGAAGATTATGTAAGAATTTTCTACAGGTTGCCATTCACAGTGTTTTCCCGAATCATGTCACTCCAAGTCTCTGTTTCCCTCCTATGCAGTCATGCCTCTATCTTTTAGCTAGGTGCAGTGCAGACGAAAATGTAGAAAACAATGTCAATTATTGTATTTAGAGAGCAATAAGCTAACTGATTCAAAATTGGATTGGCTTGTCAATACACAGTGCAATACCTCCATAAGCGGCTCGCGCAAAACTTTACTGGGGCACCATGTATCCCGCCTCCTACCCTGCTTACACAACGAGGAAAATCTCTTCAAAGCAAGAAAAACAGTGTTAATAATCTGCAACAAGATTAATTAAGTTGCCATGAGCTATTATTGTTTTCCTAGATGTACTCCACTTTGTTTCCTGGCAAAGACGAGTTTTGAGCATGTTTCACATTAAACTTTGGAGGTCCACAATTAAGTGATACGTGACTGGCAGACAACTATCTTACAAGTTGCCGGCTCAACTGTCTAAAATAAGCCAGATGAGAGTTGAGATTTATATTAAAAGCCCAGGTATATGTACATTCACAACAATATTATAAATCATACTCAGTGACCATTTTATTCTGCTAATATATCTTTCAATGAGAAGTGTTCTTCACACTAGCACTGCACTATTCGGTGATAGAAGGATTAAAGCATGGATTATTCATCAGCAAAGCTAACAAGAAAAGGTAGATCTACAAAACATCCATGAAGTTGTAAATCTTTTTCGGGACTTCATATCACATATAACCGGCCAAGTACAACACTGCCAGCTATAATGAGGACAAGCCATTAAAGTATGCATTTGTATTTGTATTTTCACCACAAACTTCTGTTAGTTATTTAAAAAAGAATCACACCGTGGATGATTAGCTAGTTGCTTCACCACAGAGCAGCAGAAACAACACAGGCATGGCATACCTTGTTTTTCCTATACATAGCTATGAACCATCTTAATGTGCATGAACGAATATTTTGCAAAACATGCCAAGTCATTTATGGGTACTGATTTGTATAAATCACTCCAAGCTTTCATTGAGTAGCTATAATACAACTACAAGATATTAAAAGTACCAGCAAGCTACCCAAAGTACCCGCAAGCTACCCAAATAAAACATGAGACTTGGAGAATTCAAAGGATTTGCAATATGCCAGCATGCCGCCTGTACAATACCTTTTTAAAATTATCTCGAATCTCTTCCCTGTTTGAGTACAGCACAATTGAGCTCAAGTTTTCAATTTTTTTAGCTTGCTCTTGTAACCTTTTCTCACGTTCAGCTTGGGCTTTCTTTTCCTCCTCCAACTCCAGAGCGATTCGCTCCCTCTCCAGTTCAGTCTGTTAAAGAAGTTTGAGTAATTTCCAGAACACATACCCAATTTTCAATGACAGAATGCAACAAGAGTAGTAACAATAAACCTGCAGTAATGTATTCCGCAAGTTTAAGATCTCCTCTTCTAAATGTTCAGAATGTGAACCCTGAAGAAAATCAGTAGCATCAGAAGATGAATTTCCAAAGCCAACATTGCAAATAAGTGCATATGATATTATTCTCCATCTTAGTTATAACAAATAAGTACACCTGCAATTTGGCTCGAAGCTCCTCAATTTCCTTCTTCTGCCGCTTTAGAAGAGCGGCATCTGTCAAAATCTGCCTCATGTAAAAGGTTAAACAAATAAGCAACAAAGGCCTATACCATATAGCACATCAAAAGGGAAAAAATTGAAATGGAGGGAAAAAAAAAAAGGCTCCAAGTAGAAAGGAAGCCAATAGATTAGGGTCGAGACCTCATTCACATGGGCACAGTTCGTAATACGAAGCGCTCTACTTGCAAACTGGAGACTGCTTTTTGTTTCATCCGCATGAATCTGCAATAAAGAAATTGCTATGAAACAGGACAGAAATGTGCAAGTTGCATATGTTCAGAAGCATTGTCCACCACAGTTTATGTGCAACCAGTACAGTTAACATATTATCTTGTGTTCATGTAAGAGTTCATTTAGTTGCTACATAGAAAAATATTACCTTATGCATCAACGAATATCATCTCAAGAGATACAAATAGAATTTGACAAATAAGGTCATTAAATGGTAGTGGTCTAAGCGATCCAATCATACCCTTGACAAGCTTACACGGTAGCTATGCCTGCAATGAAAACTTCTGTCCTAGGTAATAGGTACTTCAGCATGAAAGGCTCCCACAAAGATCCCAACACAGGAAACTTGAAGGAGTTAATAACAAAAAACTCGTGCATTTCACCGCATGAGTCGCATGAAAAAAACAATTTATTTGCATATCGGACACTCAAAAGAAACGGCATCACAAGGAACAGTCAAAACATCCAGTGTATTTACCTTAGTTGTTATTTATCCTCTTATACTGGCAGAAAGAATGATTCTTAGTCAGGTTAAACAAATTACAAAGAGCAAATTAAGAAGTAGATGTTTATGGCTGAATAACATCGAGCAATGATATGACTCCAAGATAAACAAATTAAGAGAAGTGAATGAGTTTGATGGATCATGAGTTTTGCGACGAGCATCTCCATGATAGAGAGCACAAGTCGAAAAAATTAATATTTCATGGATGCTACAGATAAAACTAGATCTACTTTGGGATGTCAATCAAAAAATTCATAAGATACATGATTGCCATTATATGTTGCCTCCAAAGGTGCAATATAGGGGCACTTGGCAGGAAAGATAATACAGAGTGACTAAATAGATGTCCTTAAGAGAGCTTCTTGTAACGTTTCCGAACAGATCTCTATAAATAGCATGACCAACTTTACCCTTAGAACACCTGGAATTACATGATACATCATCATAATGCTACCACTTCCTCTAATCCATTCAAATTCTATAGGATAGAGTTTAGCTCAATCAAGCCAATTCAATGCATGACACATCTTTCGAGTTATAAAATTAGTAGATTTACATCATTTGGCAACTAAAGGCCTGTCATTCCATGTGATGATGACCTAGAGTTTCACGCGGTAGAACAATGAACCAACCACTGAACCAGCTGGCACTTGATCAGGTCAAAATGAAACATGTAAACCCTTAGCCTGTATTCCAGTGAAAAGCTAACTGGCAGCCAACATGCATTGTGAAAAAAAATCTAGTGGTACAACGATCTCAGCTGCAGAATGAGATTTTTATTTAGAAAAAAATATAGCATTCAACTAATCAAGAGTCATTGGTGCTACCAGCCCCCAAATAAAACAAAGCCTAATGATTAATCTGCTCTCTGCTCAAATGTGTTTAAATCCAGATTATGACTAAACCAGACCAATGCACGAACCGGCCGGACAAGGCTCAATTGCCTTCAGGCCAGCTAACTTGACCCAGTCATACAAAAAATTGGCTTTAAGGACATATAAAAGCCAACAAGAGAGATAAAACCAGCAACTTTGAACCCAGTATCACAATCATCTAAAACTTTGGTACAGCATCTTACTATGATAGAACGTATACTTGCTGAGCTAGTATAGAAAGATACTTTTAGTCAAGAAACACAAGATTGCAAGCTAAATGACTTTTTAACCATAACCTGTGCCAGCGTGATATTGCAAATTATAGCTGTGTTTGAATTTCCACCAAGAGCAGGTTGCAAAATGCGTGTAAGTTTGCTGTCGCGATATGGGACATGCCCCCTACGACAAAAGTGAGCAATATTAATCCACGTGCCATATATATTATAAAATGTACTTGCCAACTAGTAAACAGTTGGATACCCCACCCCTGACTTTCAGCACCTTCACTCAGCTTTTTAATCACAGTTCCCAAAGTCATCAGACTTTTATTGATGTGAGACCCCTCTTTAAGACGGACACCCTCTGCCCCGGTTTTTGCAGCACGTTCCGAACCAGCAAGGTCAACTAAGTTCTAGAACAGAAGATCATGGCTGTAAAAAGGGAAAGACCAATAAAGAGTACACATCTGACAAGAGAATCAAAACTTCATACCAGAACAGATACACGGACAGCATCACAAGAACTGCCACCAACACCATCTTCAGTTTTATCCCGACTCTCAATAATCTGTTCATGGTAATGGTGAGAAATTTGAAGATTAGACTGTAAAAAAACTAGATATGGAAGGATTTTGCAAAGCATATGATACAAAAAAAAGTAAAAGAAAGATTATGAATCTACCATGCGAAATATGGTGTGAGACCTGCTGCTGTACACGTTCATATTTGTCTCTCCAATATGCCGATGAGCTGAATAGTAATAGAAGCAACAGTTCCCGAGATGTCAAATAGGTTAGGACCCTTCCTTAAAAGCTTTGATAAAGTTCACGCTTTAGAAACTAATAATTTCCCTTTTCAAAGAAAATAGTTTCAAAGGCAATAAACCGAATGTCAACAACATATTGATGGAAGCGCAAAAGCAAAAGGTAATGATGCTATGAGAGTTACCTTCTCCAAATTCCATAAGATCAAGAACTTGGTCAGGAGATGCAACAATTTCTTCACGTAGACCAGCAACATATATTCCCCGCTAAGCTTGCAAAGTTGATTCCCAAATAAACTTTACGACCTAATAAAAGAAATTACACGACACTCTAGTACACAGTAAATCCCTACCTCCAAGTTTTCGTGAATTTGCAATTTCCGATGCTCAGGAGCCAAGAGGTCATTTATTTCTTCATTATATATCTCCATATAAGACATTCGCAACAAAAATTCACGACCCACATCCTGAGTATTATGAGGACCATAAGTGCAATGTAGAAAGATCAGATTAAAACCTCACAGAGAATACATGTTATCTTTCTTTTCTTTCTCAGTACTTATTCAACACAATTTATTGGAAGAGAAAGAGGGATGATTGAAAGAAAGTAATTCAAAGATTGGAAAAGGTAAGCACCAAATTGCTTTAATATGCTCAAAAAAAAGAGAAGTGGCCTACAGTTTACTAAAACGAAATATCATACTTCTACACATATTCAGTTCCATGAGCCAAACTTATGATGATATGATCGAAGATAAAGGAAGAGATATACACCAAGATCACCTTTGAATCAAAGATAAATTAAAGGGCGTACTAAAAGAAACTGCTGAACCTAACTTTTTTTATGTAATAAAAGAAGAGGAAAATGAAAATATTAGTGAGCCTGTCAACTGTTTGCCTATTACTCAATGAATTTTTGCTTAACATAACACAGAACACCAACTATATATCCAGTAATTATGCTCTCATGGAAAGGGCAACATCAAGAATAATGGCATGCCGGATAAGCGAATTTCATTCTTGCAACTTACATAACTTGCAAATCCAAAATTGTATCATTAGTTGCCATGGCAGCATTTCATGGTCGAGAATCATGAGATGTTTAAGCATTCCAAATTACATGAGTTTTTTAGAAATTTATCTAAGGGAGGTTGAGGATAAAGTTTCAGTAATACGGGCTTTGAGCAGCATACTCAGAGTCAGAGCTAACAGTTTAGTGAAATGGTTTTATCAGGTTATTGGAATTGTATGAAACTTTCCTAGCAATAAAGGTCCGAGAAATAAATCATTTCAAATAAAAGACTGACATGCAAATGCATACCTTGTTAATGGAATCGAACAAATCATAAACTGAAAGAGGGATAACTCCCGGCTCTCTCACTGACCCACGCATGGTATGTGTCTTCCCGCTGTTAGTTTGGCCATAAGCAAAAACAGTTCCTAAAAGACAGCAATGCAGTACAAAAAATGTGAGCTCAATTAATCCAGACTTCAATGCTCTAAGCTACGTGCAGCTGCAAACACACTTCTTCGATGCTTTCATCGCCCAAGCAACATGGAACGACACAAAGAATCCCTGGAAGCCAACATAGATTCAATTGCACAATCCAAAGAAAAAAAAAATTTGAGAAAACTTGCCATTGAATCCACGAACAGCAGCGGCGACAATATCTTTGGTGCGGGATTCATAGACCTCCCGTGTCTTACAGTCTTCTCCAAATATTTGATCTACAGTGACGAAAGAACAAATACCAAACAAGTGTTTAGAGCCTTCGCACTAGATTACAGGAAACGAACGCAAATTTAGGCGGCGAAATCCTCGCCAAGAGCGAAAGACAGGACGAACGGAGACAATACCGAACTCGAATTTGGAAGGGAGATTGGCCATGAGGATGGAGTTGCCGGAGATCCGCCAGGGGCTGGTCCCGGCGTCGTCCGGCGAGAGCGGCCTCGCCCTGACGCTCACGTGTATTCTCTCCATTCCGACTCCCCACTTCCGCAGTTCGCAGCTCGATCGAGGAGAGGGAAGAGCGAGCGAGCGAGCGATGGTGAACAGTGTGAATGCGGGGGAGGGGGAGAGAGAGAGAGAGAGACGCTGCTGTTTGAAATTTAGGGCTTTTCTCCAATTTTCCCGCCTTTTAGCGTTTCCCTTGCGTTTCTGTAAGAAATGATGGAAGGGCTGTGCCATTTTCTTCCCGAGGCCCCCCGGTTCGTTTCGGGCCCAATAGAAGGGATACGAGCCTTTTTCTTTCTTTGCTAGGATTAACGGCAATCCAAGAAAATATACTCGAATTATCAGTGAAATTACAGAAAATAATGAGGTTGGGTAAAGCAATAAACGAGTTAGTCTTATTCGCTTGAGCTATCGATTCGAATCATTATACTTGCGAAATTTGTGCGGTTCACCTCCTCCGAGCAAGACTAAGGCCGCCGAAAAAAAAATATTTCATCTACAAATTTTTATAGAAGTATCGTAAATACATGTCTCCAAGGCGGGCGGCACGCGATGTTTGAAGAGAAATAAGCGATTATTTGATGGAATGTATATAGTGACGATGGATAATTGTTAGACATGCGTACAGCGGATAGTTGCTTTTAAAATTGAATTTCCTGAGTAGAAATGTTGATGTTCGAATATCCAAAAGTGAGACAAACACGGTCAGGCTGGTATTATTCAGCTTTTCTTTTCCTTTACATTCCCAGTCTCTTCGACTCTGTCCGCAGAATAAAGCCGAGCGGAACGTGGCCTTTACAGAGTAGACGAACTGTACAAAAGAAAGCGGAAAAAAAGAAAAGAAAAAAAAGCTCTGCTCCTAAGTTGCTTGGTGAGAGAACCTCAAACCTGGACCCCTATCCTATGAGCAACCTGCATTGGCAAACACATGAGATGAAGCTGTTATACTCTCTTATATACAGCCGTTTTGAGCAAAGGAAGGCACTGTTTCGGCAGTCACGAAGCAGCTCGGTAACAATGGATGTTAATGGTTGAGGAACTGATGTTGTTTTCTATAAATGCCTAAAAAGTTACTTGAATGACACAGGAAAGGTGATACTGCTACAAACGTCCCTTAGAATGGTAACCGGCCAGCATGTCAGTAGAGAGAGAGAGAGAGAGAGGTGTTCCGGGCAAGCATATATCGGAAATGAGATAGAAGAGTTGAAGATCTTAAACTGTGAAAAAGAAATCATCATCGAAAGGCTACTCAAGAGGAGAATATGAAAGAATCTACCTCCTTAAAGGAATGAACATCGCTTCCCCAGAGCCAAGCATCACAACCAGCATCTCTGGCACCCCATATATCATTTCTACGATCATCCCCCACATGTACTGCATCTTCAGGGGTTACCCCCAACAACTCACATGCTTTCAGAAAAATAGTAGGATTTGGTTTCTCTGCTGCAACCTGTCAAAACAGAAAGAAACAGTAGTAAAGCAGGGTATATTAGGAAGGGAGGTGCAAAGAAAATAGAGCAGTGACTTGTCATCAACAGTGTTAGCAAACTTACTTCAGCTGAAACAGCCATAGCATCAAACCAATGATCACAATTCAAAGCCCGCAAGACAGGTCTTAAACGAGTGTCAAAGTTTGAAACAACAGCCAATTTTACCCCGGCTTTTCTCAGAGCTTCAAAGACTTTCTCAGCATTAGGATCACACAGGTGCCAAGCCTGTGGGTAAAAAACCATTGTGAGAAGTCATTAGCACAACAGGCACCAGTACGGACATTACGCAAATCAGATACTTAAAATAACTACCCAACCTTATCGGTCATATAGTAATTGTAAAGCTCCTCAAAGTACTGAGAATCCGAGCAGCCAGTGGAAGAACTAACAATATATTGCCAGAAGGGTCTGCCATCATTGACATATCTGCAGATCATGAACACGCAGCAGCGTTATATTTTTCTTTATTTTTCTGAGAGGCATATATTTCAAATCAACTGCCAAATAGAAATAAAATTTTCATCAAGCAAGATGTCTGCAGTGCACTGAACATGAACCTATAAATATGATTGTGAACATTTCACGGAGAAAGGGTTGAATCTTTACATCTGGATTAATGAAATATCAAGTATGCATTTAAGAGATTAAGAAACTGAAGGTCAGTGACCTATAGAAGAAAACAGAGAGCAGAAAAACTTCAAATGGGGTAAGAACTGATGCAAGCTGGACGAGCAATACATCAAATTAATCTAGCAATGAGTACTCCAAAATTACCAGGGAAAAGGAACTGTCCTCCCTCCATAGTTCTCATCCCTAAAGAGAATTCGCTCTACGATCAAGGATCTCCAAAAGCAAAATTTTGGCTTCCAAACAACTTAATCAAACAACTCTGGGACAGAGGAATGTCTGACAGACCTAAGCATGACGATCTAAGGGACGATTGTAAAGACTCCTTAGCAAGGATAGAAGCAGTTCTATCAAAAACGGGTATGAATTCGGCACAGAAGGTATCCACGGACTAGTATTTTTCTAAGTCCACACATGGTTTTAAGGTCAATACAACCTCCGAGAGGTGGAAGTGTCCTGGAGATCAAGATGATGTCGTAAAGGGCCTTTGCACTCGGTAAACTCAAAAGTTGATGCCTTGAGGAGCCATAATGGAAGCAAAGTTCGTCCAAAAGATCAAGTCAGAAATTTCCAAATTAAGTGCCATTACAGTGTAAACTACTTCTTCTTCAAGAAGCCCCAGAAAGAATAAGATTGCAACCCCGAAACAGAACTACAAAAGAACAAGAATTAGAATCTAGTTCTCAATGATATCACACTGGAGCTAAAAAAACAGGGGAATCGAAAGAGAAGTTCAGACAAATAACCAGTCATTATGTAAAAGCAACCTATCTTTTCTCGAGTAAAAACAACCAAATTGCAATGAATGAGTCTGGAATGCCAAACAACGACGTACCTCAGACGAGATCTGCCCCAAGGCTGCTCGTAAGCCTTTCTATATCTGTTCAATATCTCGTCCTCCGAGTACTCCACCCCATACTTCTCCCCTATCTCCCTATATATCTGCACCACAACATCGCCGACCCCATTAGCGATCGCAATACAGGCAAAGCCTATGACTCTCGCCAAGAAAATCACAATCTAATGGCGACGAGAGAGAGAGAGAGAGAGAGAGAGAGAGAGAGAGAGAGCGCGCTAACCTGAGCCATGGGCTGAGAAGGAACGACGAGCGTGCCGACGGCGTCCACCAAGAGAGCCTTGTGAGTGATCCCGCCGTACAAGGACCTCCGGTAGTCCTCGTACTCCTTCACCCCGAAGATCTCCATCCCCAGACTCCTCGAGCCGACCATCTCCGGCTCGCTCGGCGCGACCGCAGCGGCGGCCAGACCGGAGGCGCTCCGCGCCGAATCCGACCGAGACGCGAGCCCATTCGGAGGAGGAGGAGGAGGAGGTGCGCGCCGCGGGAATGGCGACCGAGATCCGCTGCCGGCGAGGGCGGCGCGGAGGAATCGCGAGAGCTTCATCCTCGTGGCGATCACCGCCATTGCGCGAGCTTCATTGGACTGCAACCGAAACGCCGGTTGGTTGGCTGGCTGGCTGGCTGGCTGGCTGGCTGGCGATTCTTCTAGCTTTGAGCGACGCTCAAGGCGTTTTCCGCGCGCGCGAGAGCAGAGCGAGAGAGAGACTCTCCGAGAAGTGGCGAGCGAAGGAAGAAAGAACCTGAGATCAAAAGGGGGGATGTTGTGACGAAAATGGCCCCCGCCCCCGTGGATGGAGGAAATTACGGTTGTGCCCGCGCGGGACGTGGGATGTGGCGATAAGTGTCAGCATGTGGATAATTATGGTTTCAATTTGCGGAAAGAGTGCTCCGATTTTTAATAGGGTTTCTAGTCCGATAATACATGCGTTTATTTCGCAAAAAATTATGATAATTATTTATATCACTCGATATTAATTAATCAGTAAAAAATATTTTCATTATCAATATTAATTTATATTTAAATATTTTCGGAAATGATGAAAATATTTTTCGTGCATTCTTTTATTTATAAGAGATACGATCGATCATTTTTAAAAAATATATTTTTTAAATCATTCATTTTCGTGAAATAAATGCGCTCGAAATTAAGAAATAATGTATTTTCAACCGTTGTCGGAATAGAAGTCCTTTACGTTAAAGATTCTAATATTTTTTTCAATCGGTTATTTAACAAGTGTCCCGACACTAACTTCTTTTTGGCATTAATCCACATAAGTTCCGTGCGAAGTTTCTCTAGCCTATCATTCAAAGGGCTCCTGTTATAAGATGATTATGCGATGAGATTTTCTTTGAATATAGCTCCAATGATTATGCGATAAGATTTTCTTTGAATAGCTCCGCAGCATCCATGGAAAAAATAAAACCCGATAATAATTAAAAATGAAATAGGCAGGGACATGATCCGTTGACATGTCACGTCACAAATCAAAGTAGAGAGAGAGGTCTCCGTGTGGCTGCGAGAGGCCAAGGGCAAAACCAGGAATGCGGGGGAGTCGATGACGTGGAAGATCACAAGGTGGTGACCATCCCTGTCAGCAAACTCTTTTAGGTCAATTTTTTTTTTTTTGGGGCCAATTTATATCAATTATTTTGTTTGGTCAACTATATCAATTATTTAAATGTAGATAGATATCAGGTTCACAGGCGGCCCTACTTCTTTCTTTCAAATCTCATACCTAACACCGTTGATATAGATCGTTGAAGAAGCTAACTGCTCATCGGCACGGTGAGAGATGTGCTATGTGTGGAAGGAGATACATAGAATTAATATCATAAAAAACCTCAAACGGGTACACTTATGATAAATTTATCCAAAAATTATCTCCAAACGGATACATTTATGATAAATTTACCATTCATTAGTTTCCGTTAAATTGAATTAATATCACGAAAATTCACAAACTAGTACATCGTAACTTCAAACTGGTATACCCATCAATCTCACGTGTCATTTAACTCAGTAATTTAAAAGTAAAATTTAATAAAAATTAATGAAGAATAAATTTATCACAAATATATTAATTTAAAATTTTTCGTGATCAATATATCAATTTGAAATTTTTCGCGATATTAACTCTTTAACTTTAAAAACAGTTCCGAAGCCCTGGTGCACGGTGGTATTGAGGACATAGTAGCCAAATTTCGAGGGAAGTAGGGCCCGCGACATGGGTGGTCATCCCTTCTTCCCCCACGATTCAATCATCGGGTTTTGCAGTAAACGAGTCAGATGCTTCCGTCACCTTCCGACAACTTTTGACCCTTCGTGGGAAAATGTCGTTGCAAAAGATGAGCTATTTTTTAAAAAGTTAATATCACGAAAAATTTCACATCGATATATTTATAATAAATTTATTTTAAATTAATTTTTTAATTATTAAAAATTTTAAATTAATATAATTGTGATAATTTTGCACCAAATTAATTTTTTGATTACAATAAACCCTAAATTGGTATATTTGTGACAAATTTACCATCCGTTAATTTCAATTAAATTGGATTAATTCAAAAAAAAAAAATCACAAACCGGTACACCTATGATAAATAGAGGGTAAAATCCAAAACTAGTATATCCGTCAACTACCTGGTGTCATTTAACAAAGTAATTTAACAGTAAAATTTCAAACGCAGGGTAAAATTGTCACAGGTGTACCAGCTTGGGGTTTTTGGTGATCAAAAAATTAGTTTTGAGTAAAATTGTCACGGGTGTACCGGTTTGGGATTTTTCGTAGTATTAACCCTTTTTTAAATTTATAATTTCGCAACTCCGAGAGTCTCATGTCTCGAATAATTTAATAAAGGAAAAAGCCAAGCTATTTTGTATCTTCTGCTCGATTCCAAAATACAGTGGTGGAGATGGCTATGGCAGGTTTCTTCGTGAATGGAGTTAGCCAAGAGGAAAGGCCAAATGATGATTACTCGGATTTTTTTGGGTTCCATCGAAGCAATAGCAATACAGACAAGTCCGTCAGCTTAGAGGACGTGTGAGTTCTCAACGTTACATGGTTGTAGTTAACCAAAAGCGACGGTGCAGGCCGGCGTGGCGTGATAGCGAATGTGGTGGCATGTTCGGTAGGAATGGAGCGGGCCGGACGAGATGGCGACACCCGCTCCTTCCTTTTCCTTACGGCTCTTTCGTCGGATAAGGGAGAGGGTTCGGTTCCGTTCCGTTCCCCCACAAATTCTTGGATCGCTCTCCACCTGGCTTGTGCAAATGTAGTGGCATTTTAGATGTTTGTCAAAAGGTCATTCTCAGTACACGATCATTAATCTTAGAGAAACAGCCGAAATGATTGCATGCATCAGCACAAGAAATCATGAGGCCCAGAAAATAGCGCGAGAGGCGGAGGGAGGGTGGGTGCGTGGCCCAGCGTTGGGGAATTTGTGGTTTGGGAGCCGCGAAAAGGAGACGTTGGGTGGACCAATGGCAGGTCCACATCACCAAGTTGAGTGGATCCTAAATCACCTTAATTTCAGGCAATCCCGATGATTGGAGCCCGGGAAATCCTAAGGCAGACATGTATTTGAATGGATTGGCGGAAGCCCGTTGGGAGAACACTAGATTCGGATATGTCCAGATATAATCGGGATATAATTCAGATAAAAAAAATCCCAACTAGGGGTAGAATAAAGATGGATGCGATATCTAATATGAAAAAATTGAGAAAAAAAAGGAGAAAAGTTCCGTGGACTCGCTTCACAGTTTACCGCTCGAAGTCGTCCTCGCCAGGTCTACACCTCTCGGTCGATCTATCTTCTCGCCGTCGGCTTGCCACCACTGCTCGCGATCCCGACTGCCTTCACCTTAGATGCTACTTCTAGCTTCGTCTCGGACAGCCATCCAAAGCGTTGATTTCCTCCAACAAGTTTCAATTTTCTTTTTTCCTGGCAAATGGCCACATTCTATTTGTACAAATTTTCTAATGCCGTCATCGAGAGTTTCGATGAACACTAATTTTGTTTTTAATCATACTCAGCTTTTGCTTCGATCTTAGTAAAAAGATGGCAGTAATAGGTTAAATTGACGGACTCACTAAGGAGGGTTTGTCTTTACGACCCATTTAATTTGGTGATGATGGGTCATCGAAATCGAAATCTAGTTTTGTTTGTTGGGACTTTTTGGGTGTTTAGTACTCATTTTTACAATGTCAACAAGTTCTCGAGGTAACAAAGTTGAGAGTTTTTTTTTTTCCTTTGATTTTTAATTTTGGGTAATAATCTGTTCAACTCTGTTTCGAAGAAGAATTTCAGGAGGCAACAAAGGACTTGATTATGTCGTAGAGGACTCAAGTATTGATTTCAGAGTAATAATCCACAAAGCGACCTGCGAAGAAGGAAGATTGAGCAATCAAAATGAGAAAAACAGAGAAATGCAGCAGCGCATACTAGATGTGGAATCATTAACCTCCTGCCATTACTGGAGGACAATGATGATGATTTGTAGTGTCTCGTCTTCCTTCATCACTGACCATGCTAGAGAGAGACGAGTCGAGTGAACCTGTCCATGTAATTTAAACTCTCATTTGGATAATATTTATCTGTATTCATTTTATATCCCGACATTATCCAACGTTGTATAAGACATTTCAAATCCTATCATATCTTTACTCTATCCAATAAAAATGTCCGGACCACCGAATACCGCCTAAAGCTTTAGAACCGATGGAGATGTGGAACATTTTGCTGTCACTTTTACCTCCCAAAGCAAAAGGAAGGGGATCAATTTTGGATGAGGGCCCAGTGTCATTCATATCCTTCCTTCCATAGAATTTGAACCCTTTTCGGGATGCGAAATCGGTCATTGATCAAGGGCCCACGCTGTCGGACACCTGTCCTCCCTTTCAACATCCGGAGTACTGCTGATTGGTGTTTCTCGTTTACAAGTTACAACGACTGCTTCTCCGATGAGGGCCCGGCAATCGTGCGGTCGGAGGATCGATCTTTCGTCGCGCCCGCAACTTGAATTCCTCTATTTCATCATAACCGTTACATAAATTGTCATGATACATAGTTCAAAAATGCGCACTTAAGGCACATTGACACGTAGAAAAACGCATAACAAAAAATCATCTCTGTTAAAATATTTAAATAATAAATTATGCTTTCATTTGCTTTTTAAATAATTGATAGTGGTTCCACAAAATTTCACATAATATCAGAGCCAGAGGTCCTGAGTTCAAATCTTTTCATGCATCATTTACCTCTCCAATTAAATAATTTCACGCTTAGTACTAAAATATTTAAATAATAAATAACGTCTTCTTCCTACATTTTAAACTTTTAGAATAGGAAAAACAATATCTATCTCATTTTTTTGAAGTCGACTCAAATCGCCCATTGCATTAGACTGCACTATAATGGCTCACTCCATCCATTTTATTAATAAAATCACTTAAGCTTTTCCTCGTACAAGAATAACACAATGTGTGCGTCTGAGCACCGGTTTGTATTTCAAACAACCTAGCTAGAAGTTAAAACATGTAAACATATAAACTAGCTAGAAATTTTGATTGAACAATAAAAGGCAAATAGATCAAGATCACCTTAATTAAAAATTTGAATGCTAAATACAAAGTTATGGGAAATCACCATTTCTGATTATTTTTCTCCAATCATGAGCCCACATCTTCCAAAATTAAATGGGCTGTCAGTATTTATTGCTTCCCTGCTGAAGATCAGAAAAAACAGAAGTTATAAAATGTTGGAATTAATCGTGCCACCTATCAAATCCCGTGCTCATTCAAACAAAAAAACAAAAAAACAAAATCCTTATTACATTCCAGAAACTTTTTTTATCTTTCACCCCTTCCCGTTTATCAATTTTTGGCCTTATAAAAGCCTGCAAACGGCAGATTCACAGACCCGATCCAAAACCCTCCATCTCGTTCCTCAACTTCACTGATCGACCTCCACTGATTCCCCACTCTCTCCTCCAAGATCTCCACCACCTCACCCTCCTCGCTCAACCTCACTCCCATGCCTCTCCCTCTCCAGCTCGTGTACAGCCCGTGGATCTTCATCACGTCGATCGGTAGCCCGAGCAAGAACTTCCCCATCCAGGAAGACGATAAAACCAGCCCGAAGATCTTGTTCCTTTTCGAAAAGATCCCCACCCAGTAGCCCCCTCTGGGGCTCCTCCTGATGTTATCAGGAAAACCGGGGAGCTGGGCGAAAATCTCGACCTTCCCTGCTTTCTGGGACGGTTTGAGCCAGTACCTGAGGATTCTGCAGGTGCTTGTCTCGGCGACTAGGACGAAGTCGCCGTTTTCAGCTAGGGCCACTCCGTTGGGGAACGAGAGATTGTTCAGGATTGTCGTCACGTGATTGCTTTCCGGGTCGTACTTCATTAGCCTTCCCGTTCGATCCCCGCTCAATATTAGAGGAATATAGTTCCTGCATTGTTATGTTGATGGCATCTCCATGAAATGCATTTCACCCGAAGAACATGTATATACTTTCTCTCCCACAATACATATTTTCTTTTCACCATACAGTGCGCGTCACGTACGGTCCATTACGTACATGCAGTATGTTCATGCATGAGAAAGGCAAACGATGTTATATAGTGTACACGTACCTTCGTTGGTACTGCGAGCTGCTATCGGTTAAGTACACAGCTCCACTGAGTGGATCAATGTCCAAGCTGTTGGTGAACCGAAAAGAAACACCATCTGCCTGCGTAGCGACCGCCGTGGCCAACCCGCCGCCAGGGCTGACGACAAGCAAGCCCATGTAAGCATCGGCAATGTAGAGACGGCTCGTTCTCGGGTTGAACCCTAGCCCCAACGGACGTCCACAAACGTGTTCCATCTCTTGATGCTCGTGGCCCTTCTCGCACACGTCTCTGCAAATATAAGAAGAAACCGAGACACTTGATTAGCAATGAAATCGAATGTGATCCTCCGTTCCTGGATCGTACTCTTCTAAGGGGACTGAATCGATGAGAGGTTGTATGTCAGATGACGGGAGATCAAGATGTTAAACGGCTTGCTGTTAAGAGATTAACTTTAATATCTACGTGTGAAGAACTACACTCAAACTTCAAGGTTTTAGCTGATTAGATTAGTTAATATCCCCTTGCCGGCTAAGGACGATTTAACAATACCTTTTGTTCTAATCTCACCAAACGCAATAAAGACAAGTCAAACGTAGTTGCTTGTTAGGTTTTCGTTTCTAACATCCGACGATCAAACAAAGAAAGGAACTCACTCACATAGACCAACACGCCAATTCCGAAAGGCCTAATAACCAAAGTGCCGACTCTCAAACTTGTTATTTAAACTACCCTCGGGGTAATTATATAAAGAATGTACAATCAATCAATCTGTCCCGCGTACAAATTTTCTATTATTATCTAGGATTAATTAGGGGGCGAAGTGGCGTGTGGACAAGCTTCGCTGATTTTTCCAATTACCATAAACTACACGAATGATGGAAAATACGACTCGTGATGCACCTAGGGTGCGCATGACAATGATTATGTGTCAGAGAACTGATTATGCTCAGAAATGATTCTTTTTTATTCCGTATCCGGAAACAATTTCTAAGCATTTGAAGGCGTTTGGTAACTGCAAAAAATTTCTATTATTGGAATAGAAAAAGAATAGAAATGCGTTTGGTAACTACACAAAATTTCTTTTTATTAATAAATTTTTAATAATATTTTGAATTTTTTAGTATTTCTTTATTTTTATTTCTTTATTTCCCTTCCTTTCCTTGGCCATGGCCGGTAGCTAGCGCCGGCGACCAGCCACAGGCAAGGGCCGGCAAGAGCGTCGCGGCCCTCATCGTCGCGACCCAATCGAGGGAGATGGGTCGCAACGGCAAGGTCGAGCCTCGCCATGGCTGGGCGAGGCCTCGCCATGGCTGGGCGAGGCCTCGCCATCGTGGCCGCAACGCTTCACCGACCCTGACCTGTGGCCGATTGCCGATGGCCGGCGGCAAGCCAGGAAGAAGAAGAAGAACAAACCAAGAAGGAAGAAGAACAAATCAAGAAGGAAGAAGAAAATTAAGAAGAATCAGAAATGGAAAAATTATTCTCAGAATCAGGAAATTACTTTTTTTTTTTTTGCTTTTTAATTCTGTTCCAAAACTGATTCTGGAAATAATTTTTTGCAAATTTATGTTTGGGAACAAAAAATTTAACAAACAAATTTCTGTTCCCAAATTGGGAGCAAAAGAACATAAATTTTTATTCTTTGGTAACTTGCCAAACAGCCCTTAGTGTTTTGAACTTCAGAACTATGATCTTGTCAAACTTTCTTCCTTAGCATGCCAATCCCTCGCTTCCTAGGATTACCGAAATGGGTTAGTAATGCCAAATGCGAAAGCGGCGGGATCACAAGCTGCTGGCCCAAAGGAGAAAACAATAAATTAGGTCAAAATTTTATTTAATGGAAAATGAATTACTCAATTCATATTTTTGGCTTTGTGTGTGAAGAGAAAATAATTCACGATAATTATTAATTAGCTACACCTTTTCGTGCGACGTGCGCCAACCTCGATGGAATCGTCAACGACGACCGCATCCCACCCTCTCTCTCTCTCTCTCTCTCTCTCTCTCATCGTTTCACTGTTCACCAGAACATCTACCGGAGGTCGCCGGCGGCGCACAAGCTAATCAACCCTAAGCCAAAAACATGCAGACGAGCTCACGGTTTAACATGGATCGCGCGTACCTGCTCGGAGAAGCGAAAGCGAAATCGACCCAGCGGCGCTCCCCCGCTGCCCACTTCACGATCCGCCCGTCCGACACGCCGGTGTACGGGCCCTCCCCTCGCGGATCAAACGCGAAGCTCTCCGGCCCGATCGCGCCGCCGTCCATCGGAACCAGCTCAAGGCCATCGACCGCCCCGACTTCGGGGGCTATCGGGGCGACGGCGAAGAGGACGGAGACGACGACGGCTGTCGCCGCTAAGAAGAAGGAGAGCTTGTGCTTCATATCCATGGCCCGTATATGATCTCCTCGGATGTCTTCTCGCCACTCTGAAAGATGGCGAGCGACGAACGACACGATGGTACGTGGTGTTTGGATGTCAGTGCCTTATAAAATGAGTGACCGAGCTGTGTCGGGAATCCCTATGATTACCGTATAAATTTAAAATCAATGAGGAAATGAGGAATTTATGGCTCCTGATGGCGTTTGTGCGGACCATTCCAAATACCATTTTGTCCAATTACTTAGTATTAGACCGGTTATTATTCATATTTGGGAAAGGCACGACCTTTATAAGAATCGGACGTCGAACATTAGATCAAAGGATGATGTGGGTTCACTCTATAATAAAGAGAGATAGTGTGATGGGCGAAATTAATAGGGAGACACTGTTTCCATCCTCTGTATAACTAAATCTACCTAACTTTTATCAAATCGACAAAATCGCCGTCAATCATTCAATTGCAATTTAAAGTAGCGGTCCCAAATTTATTTACTTTCCTTTTTTTTTTTCTAGTTTTTCTGTTTCTATCTAGGATTTAATTGTTGGATTCAATTCCAAATGTATATTAATAGGCACTATATTTTTTAATTGTTGGACTTTACTTCCATAAAAATTAGTTTTGTTGAAAACAGAAATTTTTAAGAATCCTAGTTCGTTTCTACATTGTCATTCAAATTTATGGATAAATTATCAAGTAGAATCTAGAAATAATTTAACATAAACAATTTTTTAGCACAATCATTTTCTTATAAATTTTCACTTTTGCTGTGCATATCACTATCCAATCCCGTATTTGTGTGTGTATATAATTGGATGATCAAATGAAGAAAAAAAATTCTTTAAAGATTTTCCAAAATAAAATCACAATTACATTCTCCAACGAGAAACTTTAAAGATGAAATCTAATAAATCAAAACATTGCATAAAATGGGTTTTTTCAAAATGCCAATAAAATCTCATTATTTTGGATTAACAAAAATTAATAGAATGTTTATGAAAATATATCATGATGTCTTCCCGTGCATGATATTTTAAGTGTGTCCTAGATATTTATGTAACATCTTACATGCTTTTCGCAAAAAATACCTCGCCAGCAGAAAGGAAAACAGACAAATTCTTTAATGTAGTTAGTAAAGAGACTTGATACATATTTTAGGCTAATGAAATTAAAAATAAAAAATTCACCAAGAAAGTGAGCTTTTAAAATAAGAGAAACAGAGAATAGATAAGTTATTATAAAATCCATGATGAAAAAGAGACTTTTAAGTTTTTATCTATATCAAAGAATTTGTTTATTTTTCTTACTATTGGTGAGATACTTTTACACGGAGCATATAAAACGTTATAGGAATATCTAGGAATGCACTAAAATTCTTTAATACACTAAAAAAACAAAACATGTGAAATACTTTATTATGGCAACTAGATCCTAAATAGAAATAGAAAAATAGAGAGAAAAAGGAAGAAGCGATGGGCCATCACTTTGTAATTGAATGATCGAGGGCTATTTTGTTTTTTTAGTGTAAATTGGGTGAATTTGGTCATATAAGGAGTGAAAATAGCAATGCCCAATGAATATTGTTAGAAGATATATGTGGGCAACCGTGCCACGTAAAACTGCCGGCATACGTCAGCGATTTCTAACAAAAAATGATAGGAATGACTAAATTAGCAAATTGTAAAAAGGTTTATGACTAGTCATCAAAAGGTATAGGATTAAATTGACATAATTAAAAGGTTTATGATTAAATCGATAAATTATTAAAATGTTTAGGATTAAATTGGCACAGTTAAAAGGTTTATAATTAAATTGATAAGTTGAGTTGTCAAAAGGTTTAGGATTAAATTGATATAATTAAAAGGCTTAGAATTAATTAATCGCTATATAATAGATTTACGACTTTTTGAATAATTTTCTTGAAAATCCATCAACAAGCTCCATAAGTTGAAATCAAATGAATTGCAACGAAAACTAGAGAGCATGTGGAAAGGACAGTACCTTGAAAATGGCCCACTTTCTTTATTGGGATGGAGATATTTGTGGACAAAATTCTTTTAAAATTCATGTCCCAACTTCTAACTTCTTTTTTTCCTTAGAAGGCGGCGTTGTATGTCTTGTCAGTTGTATAAATGTCAATTACTGTCCACTATTATATCAACAATTTGTGGGCTAGGTCAGAAGAACTGGCCACAAAGTCCTTATCACATGTCTACCCACTAATTTGTCCTCTCTCTACGTTCTTTGGAGTCCGAGTGCCTTGTATTTTTGTGATCAATCTCCTTCGAGAATTTGAATTTGTAACCCCCATATTATATACACACACACACATATATTCAATCCTTTTTAAAAGCTGGCAGATATGATGAGAGTCAAGACTTAAGTAGTTACGGAGAAAGTAGGTTTTACTTAGAAAAAGGAAAAAATTTTAGAAAAATCATTCTCTAGTCATGCACCCTATAGGCTATAACATCTTGGTCATATAATATGAACCGTGAACTTGGTAGCACACCCGGTGATAGGATCGTTGTTATGTCCTGAAACGTTTTATGTATGCGTTTTGCATTGTCGATTTGGACATTCAATGCGAGGAGGAAAAGAAAATTTGACATCCTCAAATAGTGACCATACATGGCGTTGTTCTTGTTAATAATTCACGTGAGCCATTAACTGATGATCGTGAGATCTGAACTTTTATATGAACAACTACTGCTGAGTAGCTAATCTTTTTGTATTGACAAAGCAATGGATAGCTCGTAAGTAGCTGGTGATGGATGCCGACCTACGTGAACGATTCCATTGAGGAGCTCGCCATGTAAACGGACTGCAACTTCTGCGAGGGAAGGTTTGGTGGGTTTCACACATCCAACCACTTGCATAAACTCGGTAACCAAGCCTAGCTTCCTAAGAATTAGTTCCATGTTCTTTGGTACAACCATTGCAAATCTAACTAGGATGCTCGATGTATTAAACGCTTACAGATGACGCAAAAAACAACTTCGACGCAACTAAATCGATAGAGAGAGGAAAAAAAAGGGACTACCCGCTTTGTTTCTTGGTTGAATCGACAATGAAAAGGAGTATATTGTGCACACGACATACGCTTTAGTTGGAGGAGATCATGACATGGATCGATTTTGCAACTCTAGAGAATATGTAGCTCAATTCAAGTCGTAAATACCGATAAAAGGCCTCATCACTGACCCGATCCACAACTTGTTATCCCTCTCTTCAACTTCACTGATGAACTGCACGGTCTTCCCCTCCTTGTCTTCCACTACTTCCAGAATTTCTCCCTCCTTGCCCAGCTTTACAGCGGTCGCTTCAGCTTTCCCTCCCACAAGCAGCAAGTGCAGCTTTTGGAGGCTAATCGGCAGTCTTAGAGCAAAATTCCCAATTAGAGAATTGGAAAGAAGGAACCTCAGCACCGGTCCTTTCTTGGCATGCAAGGCGACCCAGAACTCGCCTCTAGAGTTCCTCTTGATGTTGTCTGGGTAACCGGGCAAATCAGCAAAGATGTCAAACTTTCCTGCATTAGGGCCCTTAAGCCAAAGCCTCAAGATTCGGCCGGTAGCGCTTTCCGCCACCAGCAGGAACAAACCGTCTTTGCTCAATGCTACTCCATTGGGAAAAGCGAGCCCTCGCAATAGGACTTTTAGTCCCTTGCTCGACTTATCATACTTCATTAGCCGGCCAGTTCTATTTCCACTTAGAAATGCATTCAGGAATTGTCTGGAAACACAAATTAGCAGCGATAAGTAGCTTCTTATAGGCATCGATAGACATCATTGAGAACAGATTAGAGTATTGATTATTCAGTCATCATAAGAAAAAGAAGTTGGGTGCTGCAGTGGAGGTGTGATGATGACACTGAAAATCAATAGAGAGTAATTGGACCGTGAAACTGATACGAATAACTTTCAAGAAACAATTGGTTATCTTGTTTCCACGTCCTAACCACGTAAAAATCAATAAAGACAGTAATCGTGTTGAACTGTCCCACATTATAATGAATACAGGACCCATCGATAGCTAGACATCTTTTTCTTAGTATTGATGCTGTCTGTCTTACGTACCTTCTGTGGTAAGTTGTGCTCGAGTCTGTGAAGTAAATCACATCTTCGCTCTCATCGATATCCAGATCATTGGTGAACCGGAAGGGTTCGCCTTCAGCTTGATTGGCCACCAGAGTGGCCAAACCACCATCTGGACCCACCACCATAAGCCCGAAGTACGCATCTGCAATGTAGAGATCTCCAGTTTTCTTATCGAAACGTAGTCCTAGAGGCCTTCCACAAACATGCTCCAACTCCGGTGCAAATGGGCGGGTGCATTCCTTCCTAGTAGCACAACACCAAGTTGGTGACTTTCCGTGCAAAATATGCAAAAGGAAGCACAATACTGCTGGAAATATAATGGATGAGTGCTGACATTAAGGGCGCGAATGATAATCATTCTGTTTCTGTCCAGAACTGGTTTTGGAAAAAAAATCAGAACAAAAAAAATGTAAGTTTTCTATTTCTGGACGAGAAATGAAAACCATTTCTAAAAGAACCTGTCTTCTCTCTTCAAAACACATATCTTCCTAAATTTGGTTCCGGTTTGACCTGATCAGACCGATTCGAACCGGTTCGGTCCGGTTCATTCCCGAAGGGAAAATACAAAAAATTCTAAAAAAAATTAGAAAAACGGTAAAAAAAAATTAGAAAATTCAGAAAAAATCAGAAAAAAAATCAAAACATTCAGAAATTTCATTAAAAAAATTTAGAAAATCCAGAAAATTTCTAAAAATCTCAAAAAAAATTCAAAAAATCCATAAAAATTGAAAATTTCCAGAAAAATTCATAAAAAATTCCAGAAAATAAAAAAAGTCAGATTTCGGGAAAATAAGAAATTTGGCGAATTTTTCAAAAAAAATCAAAAAATAAAAAATTTCAAAACTTCACAAGATGGCTTAGAATACCCGTGGCCACTCGCTTTGAGTGAAATTTAAATTTTTTGAGGTGCCCAAATGATATTTTTGAAGACCCCTTAATTTACGGATTTAATGAGGGTTTTAACCCCTAAAAAACCCTAAAAGGGGTTCTAAAAAAATGGATTTCTGTTCCGAGAAATAGAAATTTGTGTTACTATCAAACGAGTTTCTGTTCCAAGAAATAGAAATTTTATGCTGTTATTAAACGGGTTTCTGTTCCAGAAATAGAAAATTTTGATTGTTATCAAACGGGTTTCTTTTCTCAGAAACTCGTCCTGGAAACAGAAATAGAAAAATCTATTTTTGTTCAAGGAATTATTTCTGAAACAGAATGGTTATCATTTGCACCCTAAAGTTAATTTTTGTTCGGTAGCCCCAACAACTTCTCGAATTAGGAATGTCAACACTCCTGTGCGCTGTCCAAACGTTATGGATTTTCACCAAAGCGGATCAATTTAAGACTTCCTAGAGAAATTAGCAGCAGCAGCGGAACCTCCCGTGTTGGGGCCTCTCAAATGTAATGCAAGTTACCATGAAACAAAAAGGAACAAGCACTCAACCAAGTCAGAATTCGATGATGGCTAATATGGTTGGAACCATTTACGGGTCATCCTTGTGCAGCGCCAAGCTAATCTTCTCTGTTGTTCCAATACGATTGATCTCTCCAGAGAGTCTAATCTGATAGCAACTTGATCAAGACTCTATTCAACTAGAGAAAAGGTCATCAATCCAATCTAATGAACGCCTTATTAACAGCATTTGTTTCTTGGATTGAAGGAAATATGCACCAAAGCTGAAAAGCACATATGGTGTCACATTGATCTGATGGACTGAATCACTTATTGGACAAAAATAATACGAGTCTGTATACTATGTTTTGTAGAGAGTCCAACATACGTGACACGTGATTTGTAAAATGTGGTTAATCTAGTTTTCGCATCTGAATAATGATCAAACATGCCGACAATGAAGAGCAAAATCTTTTCTTTATCTTAAAAATAAAAAGTGGAAAAAGAAAAACCAAGTGCAGCACGAGCATAACAGCGATTTAACGTCGTACCTCTGAGAAGAAGTGAAAGCGAAGTTGACCCACCCTCGCTCGTCGCCCTCCCACTTCAGGATCTGGCCGTCGGCGACGCCGGCATATGGGCCTCCGCCGCTGGGGTCGAAGGTGAGGCTCTCGGGCCCGTGCGCTCCGCCGACCGGCACCACCTTGGAAGCGTGGAGGCAGTCGTGGGCTCCTGGGACGGGAGGCGGGCGGAGGAGATGGGTCGGTGGGTTCAGAGCTAGGACGACGGCCATGACTGCTAGCACTATTGCGACTGCTCCCAGCTTCGAAGCCATGGCCTAATTCGTTCCGGCGATCGAGACTGCGCTGTTTGCAAGCGAGAGAGGCTCGAGCTCCAGGCTTTTCAAAGGGAGTGAAGCGAGTCCAACGAAGTAAAAATCCAGCTAACGGGTCTTCCCAGAAGGACGGCAAGGCTGATGATTGCCAGTGGGAGATCACCCATCTCCGTATTGGATAACTGATTCGTCGTCATGGACACTCTTTTAACTTTTTGCTAAACATATAAAACATGAACAACGTTCGAGGTTGGAAGTCGGGACAAGATTCGACCTGCAGATTCGTTGACTATTCAGTTCGGCGATCATTGGAATATTCAAATTTGTCTAATTCGATTCAGAGTATAAAAATAGTTCCGAGCTTGAATGATTGCATGTAAAATATGAAAGAAAGGTAGACGAGTTTCTTGGGACTCTCTCTCATAATCGCCAGGGGACGTGAACTCTATGCTGAAAGATACTGTCAAGTGGCATCTCCATTGGCCAAAGTAAACAGCACTAATACGAGGTTGATGTGATTGGAAAGTTTTTATTAATAGCAATTATTTTACTGAAATTTTGTAGCTTTCACTATTGTTTGCTTATGCGTAATTACTTTTAAAAAGTGAATCATTGTTTTATTTAGTATGCGTGAGAGTAATGATTCGTCGAACTAATGTTAAAGATTGGGAAAATTACTAAAACAGTTCTAAATTTATTATAATTGTGTCAATTCGATCCTAAATCTTTTTTTTGTGTCAATTCAAACCTTTTACATTTGTGCTAATTCAGTCCATCCGGGCGGCGCTGACATGAACGCCGACCAATGCTGACGTGACGATTTTTTTATATTATTTTTTATATTATTTTTTGAATTTTTTTATTTTTTCCTTTCCTTTTCTTTTTCCCTTTTTATTTTCATCTTCAACCTCTGGCCGGTCGCCTGCGAGGTTGGTCCTGCTGGCTGCTAGTGAGACCGACCTCGTTGGCAACTGGCGAGGTTGGCCTCGTCTAGCCCCTAGCGAGGCTCGACCTCGCCAGATCTGGCAAGTTCGAACTCACCGGCAACTGGCCTCGCAAGAGGCGGGTGAGGCCGACCTTGCCGTCAACTGGCAAGGTTGACCCTCGCCAGCAACCAGCGAGGCAGACCTCGCCAAGCTCAAACTCGCCTGCAACGGCGAGGTCGAACCTCGCCAAGGGCGGGCGAGGCCGACCTCGCCAGTTGCCAGCGAGGACAAGCCTCGCCGTCGCTGGTGAGGTTGGCCTCCCCATCAATCGGCGGGGTTGACCTCGGTTCGGCGACCGACCAGAGGTTGAAGATGAAGATGAAAAAAAAAGGGAAAAAGAAAAGGAAAGAAAAAATAAAAGAAAAGAAAAATAAAAAAATAATAAAAAAATTAGAAAAATAAAAATAAAAATATTAAAATTTGCCACGTTAGCGTTAGCCGGTTGGCCGCCCTACGTCCACGTCAGCGCCGCCTGACCAAAATTGGCCGGATGAACTGAATTGACACAAATGCAAAAGGTTTAAGACTGAATTGGCACAAAAAAAAGGTTTATGACTGAATTGACACAATTACAATAAGTTTAGGACTGTTTTTGTAATTTTCGTGTTAAAAATTAGGGGTGCCGACGGCTCGGTTTGGGTCGATTTTTCATTTATACCCGATCTGAACATTAAGTTTTTGTGTTTCCGTGATCCGTCCTGAAACTCAAACCACACAAATCCGACCCGAACCCGATACAGTTCCGAGAGAGTTATAGTGTTTCGGTTTGGTTTTTGGGTTTATGACCCAAACTGTTACAATAATCATTTCTTAACTTTCCGGCCGAACCGTAACAAGACCCTACCCTAAATTATCTGAAATATTTTTTGTTCTGGGTGGTTTTCGTTTTTTTACACCCCTCATTACAATTGCATTTTCCTCCATTTCTGCCATCCCACTTACTGGTTGATTATATATATAAACATACATGCAAACCTCCCTAAAAAATTGGGTGATAGCCATATTTGTAATCAACCAAGCAAAGGCATTGTGAGAGATTTCTTCCGACGACGAGAAATGGAGGAAAACAAGACCCCTTATAATCTTGCATATAGAGTTTATATGTGAAAATTAAACCATTCAGCATGTAAAATGTGAGGTGAACCTTGAGGAGGATCACAATGCTTCAATAATCATTAGATGGGAGTTCCCCAAATCCATCAAAACAAACTCCATAAGTTGAAATCGAATAAACTCGTCGTAACAAATGGCACAAAATTCTTTAATACACTAAAAAAACTGGCCAAAATTGGCCGGATGAACTGAATTGACACAAATGCAAAAGGTTTAAGACTGAATTGGCACAAAAAAAAGGTTTATGACTGAATTGGCACAATTACAATAAGTTTAGGACTGTTTTGATAATTTTCATGTTAAAAATTAGGGGTGCCGACGGCTCGGTTTGGGTCGATTTTTCATTTATACCCGATCTGAACATTAAGTTTTTGTGTTTCCGTGACCCGTCCTGAAACTCAAACCACACAAATCCGACCCGAACCCGATACAGTTCCGAGAGAGTTATAGGTAGGGCATGATTAGAGGTGTCAAAATGGGTCTTAAACTCATATATAGATCACTTTAATTTTAAAGAGTCAATCTTAAATGGGTTTTAAATTTTAAAGCTTAAAGATAAATGGGTCTAAATGGGTTGAGTTTGGAACCCATGTCCAACCCACCCACTAGACCCATCCACACACTCTCTCCCTCTTTATAAAGATGTTTAAAAAAAATCGAAATTTAATTATTTTTATCTTTTTCTTTTATTTTTTATTTTTTCTTTTTTCTTTTCTCTTCTTTCTTTTTCTTTTTTTTTTTTATTCCGGCCGGTGGTCGGCCACGGCGACCGACCACCGGGGCGGGACGACCTCGCCGGAGGCCGGCGAAGCTCGAGCTCGCCGGCCTCCCGGCAAAGCTCGAGCCTCGCCGATCTGGCGAGCCTCGAGCCTCGCCTGGATTACGGCGACCTCGAGGCTCGCCGATCCGGCGAGGCTCCGGCCTCGGCCCGACTGTGGCGAGGCTCCGGCCTCGCCGTCTGGCGAGACTCGAGCTCGCCGGCCTCGGGCGAGATCTACCTCGCTGGATCTAGCGAGGTGGAGCCTCGGCCGAGGCCGGCGAAGCTCGAGCTCGCCAGCCTCGGGCGAGCTCGAGTCTCGCCAGATCGGCGAGGCTGGAGCCTCATCTGAGGCCGGCGAGGCCTCGGCCTCGCCAGATCAGCGAGAACGAGCTTCGCCGGCCTCCGGCAAGCTCGTCCTCGCCTGGCCGGCGACCGGCGATCTGCCAAAAATAAAGGAAAAAGAAAAAAATTAAATTAAAAATAAAAATAATTAAAAATTAAAAATTCGATTTAAAAAATAAAAAAAATATTAATTTTTTTTTATTTTCTTAGATAATGACTTTATGGAAAATATTTTCTAGAAATGTCTCATTTTTCGTAAAACAAACAGAACCTCAATTTTAAAAAAAATTATAAAAAATTTTCACTAGCTTTGTATTGCATAAAATGTTTTAGCAGTATAATTTAAAAAAAAATCATAAGAAACAAGTATTCCTAGATTAGGTTAAATATAAAAGTGTTTTAGCAATATGGGTCGGGTCGGGTATGAGTTGGGTATGGGTCGGGTCGGGTATGGGTCGAGATATTTACACTACGAATAAATGGGTCATAAACGGGTTAATGGGTCAATTTGGGTCGGACCATTTATGACCCGACCCAAACCCGACCCGACCCACCCGTTTAACAGGTCTAGGCATGATAACCATTCTGGTTCTGTCCAAAACTGGTTTTCTGTTCCAGAAATAGCTTTGGACCAGAAACCCGTTTGGTAACGCAATTCCATTTTTCTATTTTTGGAACAACTTTTTGTTCCAAAACCGATTCTGAACTAGAAATCAGAACAAAAAAAAAGTAGGTTTTTTATTTCTAGACCAAAAATGAGAATCATTTCCGAGAGAACTCTTTCTTCAAAACACTTGTTCATCTGGAAGTCACGATCTTTGAGGTGGGAAAAAAAAGCAAAAAATAAAAAATTTCAAAACTTCACAGAATGGTTTAGAATCTATGGCTACCCACTTTGAGCGAAATTTAAATTTTTTTAGGTGCCGAAAAAAATCAAAAAATCAAAAATTTCAAAATTTCATAAAATGGCTTAGAATACCTATGGCCACCCACTTTGAGCGAAATTTAATTTTTTTTAGGTGCCGAAAAAAATTAAAAATTTCAAAACTTCACAAAATGACTCAGAATACATGTGACCATCCACTTTGAGCGAAATTTAAATTTTTTTAGCTGCCGAAAAAAATAAAAAAATAAAAAATTTCAAAACTTCACAGAATGGCTTAAAATACTTGTGGCCACCCACTTTGAGCGAAATTTAATTTTTTTAGATGCAAAAAAAATAAAAATAAGCAAAAAAGATAAAATTTCAAAACTTCACAGAATGGCTTAAAATACCTGTGGCCACCCACTTTGAGCGAAATTTTATTTTTTTAGGTGCCTTAAAAAAATAAAAAAAAGCAAAAAATCAAAAATTTTAAAACTTCACAGAATGGCTTAGAATACATGTGGCCATCCACTTTGAGCGAAATTTTAATTTTTTTAGGTGCCGAAAAATATAAAAAATAAAAAATTTCAAAACTTCACAGAATTGCTTAGAATATCTGTGGCCACCCACTTTGAGCGAAATTTAATTTTTTTAGGTGCCGGAAAAAAATAAAAATAAGCAAAAAAGAAAAAATTTCAAAACTTCACAGAATGGCTTAGAATACCTGTGGCCACCAACTTTGAATGAAATTTTATTTTTTTTAGGTGCCGAAAAAAAGAAAATACAGCAAAAAATTAAAAATTTCAAAACTTCACAGAATGGCTTAGAATACATGTGGCCATCCACTTTGAGTGAAATTTAATTTTCTTTAGGTGCCGAAAAAAAATTAAAAAATAAAAAAAAATCAAAAATACCATTTGGGCACCTAAAAAAAATTAAATTTCACTCAAAGTGGGTGGCTAGAGGCATTCTAAGTCATTTTGTGAAATTTTAAAATTTTTGATTTTTTTATGTTTTT